TTCCTCCCTCGCGCTGGCTCTCGTCGTCGGCCCGCGGCGGGGGATGGAGCCGGGTGGGGTGACGGGACCCGGGGCGGGGGCCGCTTGGAGTCCCAACTCCCCACAGATAACCATTTTATGAGGTGGGCGCACGGCTTAACCGACCTGGGGGCCAAGAAACTGAAGGGAAACCCTGACGCCGGCACGCTTTCCGGTGGGAACGGGCTCCGTGGGACTCAGACCCCCGTTCTGAGTGGGGGTGCGACTTAGGAGCCGGACACCCTTCCGGCGGGAGCAGGGCTCGCGTTTGTCGTCCCCCTTGGGCCCGGGCTCGCGGGCTGTTTCTCAGCTTTCCCACCCTTTGGTCTCAGAGCCCCGGCTTGTTGTCTGACGAGTCTTTTGGAAAGAAAGATGTTTGACTGTATTCCCTGGGACGCTTCGCGGCGCCCCCCCCCGCCCCCCCCCCCCGTGTCCTCTCTCCCCCGGGCCCCTGTGTGAGGACTCATTCATTATTCCCGAGGTGCGGAGAGGCTGGGCTCAGTGCTGAGGGTCCAACCTGCCATTTACCTGCCGCCTGCTTCCTGCTGGGAAGACATTGAACAGGATGTGCTTCTAGATCTAGAGGTTTCTTCGCCTCGTTTCTAGATTTCATTCTTTCGTGGACACGTGTGAAATGGAGACGAACTATTCTAAAGGAATCCGTTTCTAAAAGACAAGCCGTCCGCAGCACCTTCAGCCAAGGAGATAATGGAATATCAAGATTAAAAAGGGGGGAAGAATGCACTGTGCAAATACCGTTGGTTACACAGAGAGCACTGGCAGAGCGATTTCTCAGTGTGAGTGGATGCGCTGGTGGATACCAGCAGACATAGCAAAGCTGCAGAAAACGCATTCCGGAGTTTGCAGTCACTGAAGCCCACCCCCTCCCGTTGGCCACTCAAACTCTAGCAGCGGTTCTCAACCTTCTGGCCCTTTAAATACAGTTCCTCATGTTGTGACCCAACCATAAAATTATTTTTGTTGCTACTTCATAACTGTAATGTTGCTACTGTTATGAATCGTAATGTAAATATCTGATATGCAGGATGGTCTTAGGCGACCCCTGTGAAAGGGTCGTTGGACCGCCAAAGGGGTCGCGACCCACAGGTTGAGAACCGCTGCTAGGGTCTCGTTGTTGCTTTCACTCTGATGGGACTGATGAGCGCTTTCTGGCTTCTGGATGGGGATGTGCCACGGGAGCCCCTGCGCGAGCCTTTGTTCTCTCCCCGGGGCCCTGCGCTTGACATAATTGGCAGGGAGGTTCCAGGAGAATCAGACCCCAGGTTCCCCTACTGCACTGTCCTATGGAGAGGAAGCGTGCTACAGAGAAGCCAGCTGGTCGTCTTTTGCCCCCTGGTGGTGGTCAAGGATGCCTGCGAGACAAAAGTGAAGATGTATGATTCACAGATTCAACTACCTTGACTTTTCCCCAGAGCTACCTGGTAAACAGGAAAAGAGTAGATAAAAGTTCAGAAGTAAGAACTCTGGATCAGTGCTTAGAAGACCAAACAGGCAGCTGTATGCAGAGCCAAGCAATATACATAGCTGGAAGCTAAATGAACTCAAATGAAACACATGTGCTTATAAACCAAGGAATCATTCTAGAAAAAGTTATTCAAATCAGTAGGTCTTAGAAATGTGCTTATATGTTCACTTTCTTACTGTTTCAGAGACAGCAACACTACTTTTGTGTAGCAATATAATCTTAAGGAATTCTTTTGGAAGACGAGAGAGAGAATTTCATTAATCTTACAGTGGGAAAGAGCACTGCCATAGGCTTCTAATTTCAGCTCTAAAACCTTAAGCAAATGGCTGAAACTTTTTGAGTTTTCGTTTCTTCATTTCTACAGTGAAGCTCTAACTCACAGGATTCTTGTGATCAAATGAGATGGTGTATGGCAAAGTGCAGTATAAACTGCAAAGCCTTGTATGTAATTAAGATCATTAGTCTCTAATGTTTGTTCCAAGTTCAGTTAGCTTTTGGTAAGTGTACCCTATGTGTAGAAAATAGCATCTAGCAAAAAGGGAACAAAAACAACTATAAAGATGATTCATGCCTTAATAGTAGGAGAAGTAGATTCGTGGTTAGGATGTCTCATCTGTAGGTAGGCATAGAATATTTTTATACAACGTATCTGAGGTGATACAACCTGATCAAAATTGGGATTATAAATTCACATTAAGTTTGTATCAGGAACTTAATTTATTAATTTACAGGGGAAGTATCTCTTCCTGGTATATGAGTTTTTAAGAAAACAAAGATTTAGAAATTATTGGTGCATATTCTTTAGCTTATTCACCCTTAATTGAGAAAATATTGAATGTGTATTATATGTAGACACGTTTAAGAACAAAATAAGAGTCTATCTACCTCTCTTAACAGCCTCAAAGCCTGTTAGCTGGGGAAACCACATCAAATAATGACACTAGGGTTTAGTGGTAGTATGGCTTGTCACCACTGCTAGTCCCCAAGGGAGATATGAAATGTAGATATGTACAAAGTGTTTTAGACACACAGAGGAGAAGGTCTAGGCAAATGTGGGCTTCATGATATTGGATTTAAAGCTTTGGCTGCAGATCCCAATATAGTTGCTTTGCGAACTGAGCTGGATCACATGTGAGCATTGAAATCTATGCTCTCTGCCCCATTTATACCTATTTTTCCTTGGGCTCAACCCTGGTTCCTATTTGGTCTTCGGGTGATCTGAGAGAGAAGGTCTCTACTTCAAATAGAGAGAAAATCCTAGAATCCTCTTACTATACTGGTTGAATTCGAGAAGAGAAACCAAGAGCAATATTCCCACAAGCGTGTGCCAAAAAGATAAAAGTCCTCCTACTTCCATTAATAGCACCTTTATTCTTCTCACCCATGATAATGACCTGTTTGTGCTGTTGGAGTTCAATTAATCCTTAATTTGTATCATTTCTCCTTTGGGGGTGAAATTATAGGGGAAGTTCTGAAATTCCTGAGACCAGCTGGTTCTTAAGCTTTGAAACCTGATGAAAACTATTCATCATCTCTCCAGAAAGATACACTTCCATATTTCATACATTTACTAAAATTAATTGAGGTTAAGAATCCTGATCTGAAGTTTAAAGCAGTGCTTCTCAATCTTTTTTCATATCCTAACATCCATAGAAATGATATTTGTGTAGCACACTAGGGTAAATTAAAAAGGCAACTGTATGGGCTGGATGGAAAAAGTTGTTTTCTTTATATTATATAATGAGAAAAATAAGATAAACATATTAAGGATGATAAATATTAATTTTATATATGCTTCTAAATATTCTAAAAAATTTAGTGAAAAACCTGAGATTGTATCTGTAAACATAACTTTTTAAAAATATTTTTTTATTGATTTCAGAGAGGAAGGAAGAGGGAGATAGAAATAGAAACATCAATGATGAGAAAGAACCACTGATTGGCTGCCTTCTGCGCACCCCCCACTGGGGATTAAGCCCACAACCTGGGCATATGCCAGGGGTGGGCAACCTTTTTATGAGTGCGTGCCCAAACCAGCAAAATCTCTGACTCAAAATTCTTCTGCGTGCCAACCCTAATTTTTTGAGAACATGTTATGCCTACTTGATATCTCTTAAGGTGTACGTATGTGAAGAACCTTGAAGAAATAATAAAATTCATTCAAGCGACAAAAACACAGTATATGGTGATGAAAAATACATTTATTTTTTAAATTTCTTTATTGGTTAAGGTATTACAAATGTGTCCTCATCCTCCCATTAACCTCCAACCTCACCCCCCCACACACACACTCATGCTCTCATCTCCCTGTTGTCCTTGTCCATTGGTTTGGCTTATATGCATACCATTTATTTTTTAATGTATACATGTACACTGATAGTCCGACAGAAAACTTTATGACTCCGTTTGATATTATCAGTAGGACTTTCGCTGCTGCATCACTGATGACAGAGATTTTACATCCGGTTTATATTTCGTGACCTTCAGAGATATGCACAAGCTACTACTTTCATCCGTCAGGCTACTCCTATTATGAGACTTAACAAAATTCATCACTGAGAACGAAGATTCACAAGCGTATGTGGATGAAAACATGGAGAGTAATGCTGTTACAAAGTTTTTTAAACAGAAAAAATTTTCTTGAATGGCATTCCAAGTCCTCAATAGTTCATTTTCGACACTTCTCTCTGGTACTCCTGTCTCTAATCACTTTTTTTTCAATGTTTTCCAAGTCAACTCTAAGGTCAACAAATTTCTGCTTCCAAATTGAGCTACTCTGAAATTCAATCAACTGCATTTCAAAGTCAGCCATGTCTATTTGTAAGTTTAGTTCCTCCAGTTTCATGCTGTCTGGAAACCTCATGAATTTTGCTGTCTCTTCCAGTTCTCTGAATTTTGCAAATCTTGAGAAGAACTTCTCAATAGTTGACTCGATGATGTTTAAAATGGCTTTTGAAGGCTTTGACAGTCTGTTCTGTCATCTTTTGGGAGGTCTTTGATGTGCCTCTTGAGGTTTGGGAAATATCTAAATCTCTCACCATCCACATCCCTCTTAAAGACTTCCAGTTTCTTTTCAAAAGCCTTTATGTAACCAAACATAACATCAAGTGTCTTGCCAGTTCCTTGTAATTTAACATTTAAGTCATTCAAATGTTCACAAAAATTGTAAATGGAAGATTATCAGAGAAGGTTTCACGTGCCACCAAAAGTTACTGGCGTGCCATGTTTGGCATGCATGCCAGGGGTTGCCCACCCCTGGCATATGCCCTCTACCAGTATCGAACCTGGGACCCTTTAATCTGCAGGCTGACACTCTATACACTGAGCCAAACTGGCAAGGGCTGTAAACATAACTTTTTAATGTAAGGTTTTGTGATAGAAATAACTGTAATTCCTCAAAAAGAGAGTTTAACAATGACCACTTGGTAGTCATTATTTTATGTTTTTATTGATATTTATTTATTTGAGAGAGAGAGAGAGAGAGAGAGAGAGAGAGAGAGGAAGGGAGAGGGAGATAGAAACATCAATTGAGAGATAGGTAGTCATTGTTGATGAGAACTTATTTTATATAAATAGGTGAGAAATTTAAAACACTTTCACAATGATTCAAAATTTACAAGTATAAATTATATTTGACTCTGACTCTGATAGGTTTTTTTTCCCCATTTGCTACCTCCTGCTCCCCAGATCCAATTAGTATAATGTCTTCAATGTACTGGAGCAATTCAATGCTGATTGGAAGGCTGAGATACTCTATCTTTTTGGGCTATAATATGGCAGAGTAGGAGAACTGATGTAATTGTAGGGCAAGACTATGAAGTTATATTGTCAGCCCTGCCTAGTAAAAGCAAATTGCTTCTGGTGTTCCTTGCCAATTTGTATGGAGAAATAAGCATTTTCCAGTTCAATAGCTGCATATCAAATGGTAGGGGTTATGTTGATTTATTCCAGTAAAGATACTACCTATAGAAGAGCAGCTTTTACTGAAGGCATCACCTGATTAAATTTATAATAATTTACAGTCATTCTCCAAGATCCATCCACCTTCTTCACAGGCCAAACAGGAAAGTTAAATTGGCAAGAGATAGATTTCATCACCTCTGCTTCTTTCAGAACTTTATTGGTGTCATTAATCTCTATAATCCCACATTCTGCTCTCCCAAGAAAGCAATAATTTTTGTTTACTCTCCTGGTATGTGTGTATGTGTGGGAGGGAGATTTCTAAGGTCTTTAACTTGACCCTTCAGACTATAATGGCCCTTATTCCAGGATCAGACTATAATGGCCCTTATTCCAGGATCAGAGAGCCAATATGGAAATTCTGCCAGTTATCAGGTATCTATTTTAATTATACATCCAGGAACTGATTAAATCACTACATAGTGGTTCTATGGACCCACTCAGCCCCCTGTGATTCAAACTTGAATTATGACTCTATCTCTCAGGGGTTGATGGGGGAATAAGAGGGATATATGTAATACTTTCAACAATAAAGATTTTTTTTTTTAAAAAAAGACTCTGTCTCTCACCTGTCCACCACAAGCCCCCACTTAAACTGGTAGACTGCAGTGGCATTTTGGGCCCCCAGGAATTAACATCAGTTTAGTGCCAATGTTTAGAAATCTCTATAAACCTGGACATTTCTTTTTCCCTAGCACACAATCATTTTACAAAATGGCCAGATGTCCCTTGTGGAGAAGACATAGAGGAAGATTATCAGTGTATATTAATGGCAGTGCTGCAGAATTCTCCTTTAAGGGGATCCAGCCTTCCTTTCAATTAAGAGGCTTAGGTTTGGAAACTGGGTAAAAGGTCTGAATTTTCCACTGTGGTGACTGAAGTAATATTTTTTCCACCATATGGGGATTTTTAATATTATGTGTAGATGATCAATGTTTTAGTAAACTGGCCATCTATTTTATTCCTAGGACCACCATGATCATTTAGCCACAAAGATCACTAAGGGTCAAAATACCTGATTACCACTATATCTATACTTCTCTTTATGGTAAATATACCCACCTTGTCTTTGGTGGTTAAACACTGACATTGACCTCTGATACTTTGAAATGGGTCATCCCATCATGCCTAGCTTATGGATGAAAGCCACCATAGAGCTTTCCAAGGATGCAAGTACTCCCACTCTCTAGTGTATTTTTCAGTGCCTTAGTAATGTCCCCAGAGTCCTCTAGGGAGATGTACTTGGGGTAGTAGATGTGCAGGTCATATGTGATAAATCTATTTCAAAATTCCTATCTCCCTAAGCCTTTGGATCTCTTTATGTTATGTCAGGGAAGTTCTGGTATCTCAATTTGCATAAACATAGGCCACTGTGGAGTCTATGTTTTAGTGAACTCACCAAATGGTTAGTGTCACTCCCAGCTATAAATGCTAACACATTAAATCCTTACTTTCTGGTAAGTGTACCCATAACAAGAAATTCTAACCAAGCCAGTGTTATATTCTGTGCTCCTTGCTTTAACTCCCTTATAATATACTAGCACACATTCCCTGGTTTTCTGCCACTATGTAAGCAAATAGTGAAATTCTTTTGCTATAAAAGCCATTTCCTCCTGGTCAGACTTTGTATTTACCCTGTTGGAGCATTTTAAGATCTGATTTTAGTTATGATTTTACTAGAAATAAGAGGTGGTTGTTGTGAGTCTTGAGGAAAATGGGCATCCCCCTGCAAGGTTATTGCCCAAGATGAGATTATTACAATGTTTTCAATTAAGAGGAGGTCAGTCTCCACAAATACGGAGAAAAAACTGCTTCCGTTGGCAAAAGAGGCTCAGAGTGGCTCATGTGTTTGAGATTATCAGTCTCCTAGTCCAATTAAATGTCACCATTCCAAATTTCAGGGTCCCCCTTCTTACCAATCAGTGCCCCAATTTTCACATAAGTAACATAGCTAGATTGTGAATTCAATTTATGTTATAAGTCTGCAACCCATAATTCTTGATGAATAGAACTCTTTATCAATTATATAATGAATTTGTTACAGTTTTTGGCTTACAGCCTATTTTGTCTCTTTTGGTTTCCATTTGCATGGAATCTCTTTTTACATCCCTTCACTTTTGCCTATATGTGTCCTTTAAGCTGATGTGAGTCTCTTGTAGTTATCATATAATTGGTTCTTGTTTGTGTAATCCACTGAGCAATTCTATGCATTTTGATGGAGAATTTAATTCATTTACATTTAGAGTAATTATTAATAGGTTAGGACTTACTAATGTCATCTTAATGTTTTCTGAATGTTTTATAGTTCCTTTCTCCTTTTTGCCTTCCTTGGTGAACAGATAATTTTCCATAGTGGTATGTTTTGATGCCTTCTCTTTATCTTTTGTGTATCTACTATGGATTTTTGCTTTGTGGTTAACATGAGGCTTACATAAAACATCTAATAGATGCAAAATTTATTTTAAGCTGATAACTTCAATCACACACAAAAATTCTACCCTTTTACTCCCCTCCACACACACATATTTTATATTTTTGATGCCACAATTTACTTCTTTTTATATTGTATATATATTAGCAAATTATAGTAGCTATTTTTTCCATTGATTTTTTAAGACAAAGTAGAAGGGAGGAGGAGAGAGAGACAGAGAGAAACATTATATAAGATAGACATATTAATTGGTCACCTCCTGCATATGCCCCAACCAGGACTAGGAATCAAGCCTACAACTGAGGTACATGCCCTTGACCAGAATCAAACCTGAGACCCTTCAGTCCATGAACCAATGCTTTATCCACTGAGCTAAATCGGCTAGGGCCTTAGCTTTTAAGTGTTCATCAAGAAAGGGTTATATTCAGCCTTTTTTCTTCTCTAGCTATTCTTACTGGATGAGCTACACTAGCAACCTCCTACAAAGACATTTTTCTGTCAATACCTAGAGGATCAAGACTCATAACAAATCCAAGTAAATCATATATCTTTTAGTAGTCTGAGTAATCAGAATAATGTATGATTTCTTTTTTATACTATGAAACCCCTTCCTCAAGGATAATTGGCTGCTCTTTCATGTATGACTGACAGTCTTGCCAACCAAGATGCCAAATGCTACAATTCACCAATTTACAAACCTATTGGGAGTGTGTGTAGAGAGTCCTAAACTAGATTTACAAAGGCTAGCTCACAGCCTACAACCTAAGTGGAATGACTCTAGAATCTTACGGGTGGGAGTGTGAGGTGTGCAGAATGATATACACTTTGAGTAATTCAAATGCAAACTAATGCTGTTTAGACTAGACAATGCTTCCATCATTTTCCAGTGGACTTGATTCTGCATAACTTCCTACAAATGCATCATAATACATTTCAGTGGCATTCAGATTCTTACTGGACACTTCCGTCAGGCTATCAAGCAGGTAGCTTAAATGTAATGCCTCCAAACTTAAATTTGTATCATTCCTCAAACCTGTTATTCTTTCCTTTCCTTATTTCAATAAATGCCATCACCATCCATTCACCCTTCTAAACATGAAAAAAAAAAAAGAAAACACTTAGTGAGCCTTAACTAACCTCTTCTTTCACTCCTTAGATCCAATTATGCCCCAGTCCTGATCATTGTCTTTGTTTGGGTTCTCTCAGAACAGATCCTGATCTAAAATGTTGAGTACAAGTTCATTTAGGAGGTGGTTCCAAAAAAACAATGGTAAGGGTGTAGGGAAGAAATACAGGAAATGAAGGAAGCTTGCATTATTGAGTATCAAATGCAATATTGGGCAACTGAAGCTCAATGCCATTGGGTAACTCTGGGAGACAGAATAGAACATACCTCAGAAATGCTCCACCTGTGAGACTATGCAACTTCCTATTATCAATGGCTGAGGGCTTCTCCTATCAGATATTAATTTCCAAGTTCTTCTGGCCTGTCCCACATTTGGACTGTCAGGAAGTCCTCTGAGAGAATTGCAGATGCTTGCAACCAGAAGCCATCTGCATGTTTTGTAACGGTGAAGCTGAAGGGATATGGTTTGGGTACTGACAATGTCTGGCGGAGCCTAGACTAGAGTAGAGTGAGGAGTAGTGAGGCATTCATCTCAGGTGCAACATTTAAGGTGCAAACTTTACCTTGATTCTCTTTCCCCCACCCTATTCCTTCACATTTCCAGTCTTTGCTGGAGGAGTTAACTTTAAAAACACCAATTTGATCACATCTGTACTATGTTTAAAAAACACACATAGAATAAAGTCTAAACTCCTTACTTTAGCATGAGTAACTCTGCAGATTGAAAATTTACCTTTTGTGGACCCTGAGAAAGAGATACCTACTAAGAAGGGCTCCTGGTGGCTTAACTGGGCTTTAAAAAAACCAAACACACACACACACACACACACACACACACACACACACACACATACACCACCACCACCACCACCAACAACAACAACAACAACAACAACAAACAAAACACATACAAAAAAACGGAGCCCAGCAGCCATTTCTAACCAGGGGCCTCTCATGCAAACAGCACTTGAGGGAGAAGCCTGCAGTAAGTTGCCTGCAGCCTGCACTGAACTGCCTTCCTGCACTGTGTTTCTGCTATCTGAGCCAGCCCTGATAGAAGATTTCCTGGAATCCTATTTCAACCAATAGAACTGAGGCTTCCTCTTCCTCCCCCTCAGTTGGTTGTGCAGCTATATCCCCATCAACATCTTCACCACTGAATCAGAGCAGCTTCATTCTGACCAACCAGGACAGAGTTTTTTGGACCAATCAAACTGTGAAGATTTGGAGTCCTCATTTGCATGCAGACAGACCAATCAGGGACCTTCTATAGAAGTCAGCTCCCCTTTGGCTCTGGGAGCATTTTCCCTTTCCACCAAAGACTGAAGACTATTTCCCCTTTTTGTGCTAAAACATGGAAGACATCCTGTGGGAGCAGAACAGACGGGAGCAGAGTAAGGCAGAGCAGTGTGGACCAGCGCAGATGGAGCTAACCTGAGCAGAGCAGAGCTGCCTTGCCCCAGGTCGCCTTTGTCCAGGGCCTCTTCTCAGCCATGCTGTTTCACAACTGTGCTGCTTCATAATTGAGCTATACCACTGAGCTGTTTTTCAGTGCTGTTTTCACAGCTGTACTGTATTACAATTGAGCTGTTTTGCACTGAATAAAGTCTCCTTCTTTACTGCACCAAATTAAAGCTTCCTGTTGGCATTGAATTGGCACCAATGACTATTGATTGACATTTTTTACTCTCATGTTCTGCCACTTTCTTTTATATAACTACTAGAGGCTCGGTGCATGAATATGTGTATGATCGGGGCCGGGGAGGTTGGCCAGCTGGGGCGGTCTGGCCCATCTTGCTCAGTCCCAATCGGCCAGACCCCAGCAGCAAGCTAACCTACTGGTTGGAGCATCTGCCCCCTGGTGGTCAGTGCATGTCATAGCAAGCGGTTGAGCAGCCTTAGCATATCATTAGCATACTAGAGGCCTGGTTCATGAAATTCATGCACTGGGGGGGGGGGGGGGGTTGTCCCTCAGCCCAGCCTGCACCCTCTCCAATCTGGGACCCCTCTCACAATCCGGGACTGCTGGCTCCCAACCACTCGCCTGCCTGCCTGCCTGATTGCCCCTAACTGCTTCTGCCTGACAGCCTGATCACCCCCTAACCACTCCCCTGCCAGCCTGATTGACACCTAACTGCTCCCCTGCCAGCCCGATTGCCCCCAACTTCTCTCCCCTGCCAGCCCGGTTTCCCCAACTGCCCTCTCCTGCTGTCCCGGTCACCCCCAACTGCCCTCCCCTGCTGGCCCAGTCACCCCCAACTGCTGGCCTGGTCGCCCCCAACTGCCCTCCCCTGCCGGCCATCTTGTGGTGGCCATCTTGTGCCCACATGGGGGCGGCAATCTTTTGACCACATAGGGTGGCCATCTTGTGCAAGGGTGTGATGGTTAATTTGCATATTACCTCTTTATTATATAGGATTATATTTTGATTGGTTGAATGGCTGAACAGTTGACTGGACACTTAGCATATTAGATTTTTATTACATAGGACTAGAGGCCCGGTGCACAGATTCATGCACCAGTGGGATCCCTCAGTATGGCCTGCACCCTCTCGCAATCTAGGACCCCTCTAGGACTGCCAGTTTCAACCCGATCCCCACAGGCCAGGCCGAGGGACCCCACTGGTGCATGAATCCATGCACCGGGCCTCTAGTATGCATATAAGATCTTTGGTTAATCTCTTCCCACCCTCCCCCCTTTCCTTCTGAGATTCATCAGCCTGTTCCATGTTTTCATGCCTGTGTGCTGAGCATCTTCTCCCTGGTGTTCAATGTGAGACATAGCTACTGGTCAAATACTCGAATGGTCAAACGGTCGCTTAGGCTTTTATATATATAGATGCTCTATTTCATGAATGCTTCAAACACTTTTTGAACTTTCATATCCTCTTGTGTGTGTATTGTTCCTTCTGCCTCAAATAATCTTCCCCACACCTTTATACAAAAAGGTCTTACTTGCCAAAGCCGGTTTGGCTCAGTGGATAGAGCGTCGGCTTGCGGACTGAAAGGTCCCAGGTTTGATTCCGGTCAAGGGCATGTACCTGGGTTGTGGGCACATCCCCAGTGGGGTATGTGCAGGAGGCAGCTGATCGATGTTTCTCTCTCATCGATGTTTCTAACTCTCTATCTCTCTCCCTTCCTCTCTGTAAAAAATCAATAAAATATATTTTAAAAAAAAGAATGGGGAAAAAAAAGGTCTTACTAGTCCCTGAATACAGCTTGAAAATCTATTTTTCTGTGAAAAATTCCCCGATCTCTCTGGAAAAATATATTATTTATTCCTCTGTGTTTCTGAACATTTTGTATGTACCTCTACTTTTGCACTTTGCAAATTGAGTTGCATCTGTTTATTCACTAACCTGGGAACTCTTTAAAGCAGGCCTGATTCATATTTTTAACCCCAGTGTCTACCTGCATAATAGAAGGCACCCAAAAAAGGTTTGAGTTGCATTTATCTGGGTGTTTTCAAACAAAACAGATTTTTAAAGAAATGGAAGGATGCTTCTTAGCAATTTCAGGAGATGGGACACTATAAGCAAAGAAAGCAGTCTGTGAGAATGTACAATTGGGACCTATCAAATAAATCTAGTTTATATATGAACTGCTTCAAAAAGGCTTCAAGGCAGCTATTTTTAAGTGTTGGAATCTGTTGTCTCCAAAGGCAGTACTTTTGGTTTATTCAACTAAAACATGTGTTATGTTGATAAAAAGGTGAATACTCTAGTACATTATAAGCATAATATTTCAGATTAAAGAGTCCCTAGATTGTAACTGCCCTAGAGACAGAGACCATGAATATAAAATTTACTTTCTACATAGCACAAACTAGACTAAACATACACAAACTCTTAAATGAATTTTGGCACAGAAGTGATTTTGATAATCTGTGGTTGAATCTATAGTCTTTTGCAATGAAGTGGGGACCTGGTAATTATCCAATTTAATTCCTTAATATGAATAAATAAAACAGATAAATCACATTCCTCTCAGAATGACCCTTCAAAAAAAATGCTTTTTAGTGAGATTATTATTCTAATGTCTGTCAGCCTTTCTCACATGAATTAGGTAGCCATCAAAGTTTTACTTCACCTCATCTTGATTGTTATTTCAAAAATTAATAAGGCTGACAATGTTTTTAAAAATTCAATTGCATTACTGTTGCTGGGGGTTTGCTTTTTTTTAAATGATAATAGTGATGATTACTGGGGTGAGTTTTCCTGTCTCCCTGAGCACTAGCCTAGCATTAATCTAGCTTTGGTCAGTAATAACAGAAATAACAGTATTACAGTTTGAAAAATTTAACAGTTGAGAACTCATTACCATTCAATAGAATGGTGGGATGTGGTGGGGGTCAGGGGAGATTTTGATATTTCAGAGTACTTTGTGTTGTTTATTAATGTTGTCTTTCTCTCTTTTTGTTATTAGTAATGGTCTGGTAATACTTTCCCCTACCATTTGATGATATTTTTTGCTGGTCCAGATGAGTGAGTCACCATCTCAAGAGGAACCCAAACCTGCTCAGGTACCTGGCCTAAATAGATGCCTAACCATTTAACCATGAGAGGATTTGAGACTAGTTTTCTTGGAAGAATTGAGATGAAATATCATACTCTATCATTTAATTAATTCTCTTTTTAGTTGAAGTGTTCTGTATCAGATTTTAACAAAAATGCAAAAAAGGGATCAACTAAAAAGCAGTGGTCTGCTTCTAGTTAGTTGATATTCCTTATCCTACATAATAAAAGGCTAATATGCAAATTGTCCCCTTGCGAGTTCAACCAACCAGGAGTTCGACTGCTCATTATAACATGTGCTGACCACCAGGGGGTGGTGCAGAATGAAGGGAGACCCCGGCCGGCAACTGGAAGCCAGGGGAGGGAAGGCCCTGGCCAGCAGCCAAGAGGCCCCAAATTGGCCCTGATCGCTGGCCCGGGCTAGGGACCCTACCCATGTACGAATTTCATGCACCGGGCTTCTAGTATATTAATGAGCCTGTTACTGTTTGAATTTGTTAATACACTACCTTGGTGTGATTTTATTTGGTATGATGTTTACTCATTATGTGAAAATTTTAAACATAAAAAGCTGCTATACTAGAGTATAAGGCAGTGGTTCCCAAACTTATTTGGCCTACCGCCCCCTTTCCAGAAAAAATATTACTCAGCGCCCCCTGGAAATTAATTTTTTAAAAATTTTAATAGCAATTAAACAGAAAGATATATGTATTAATGTTTCTACCTTTTTCGTAAAATATAGTAAAGAAAGGTGTAAATTAGAAACATTGAAGTTTGAAATTATGAAACTATTTATTGAACTCAGAATAGAAAGGTAATACAAAAAAAGTTAAAACAAATGCACCTGTGGCCATCACCGCCCCCCTGGATCGCTGCAGCACCCACCAGGGGGCAGTAGCGCCCACGTTGGGAATCACTGGTATAAGGTATTAGTTTATCAACAGTTCCTTCTGGATAACACTTATTAACACTGTTTCCATTTTAGGAAAATGGAGAAGAAAACAAAGAAAGGAAACAGGAAGCAACTAAAAGGAATGAGCCTATTGAGGTAGAATTTTCATAGAAAGTCAGATATTAATGCTGGAGAGTAACTTGGACAAATCAATTTCCTTATAAAAGAAGGAAAAGAAAAGATGTGGGTATTCAGACAGATAAATAAAATGGCAAATGGAAAATTAAGCTGACTCCTTTGAATCAGTTGTAGGACGCTTCCATAGATAAATTATTTGTGAAGAGCTATTATGAATTATATATAAATAAAGATTGCTTTCTAAAATCAGAACTATTACCCTAAATACAATAACCACCAGTTTTTAGGGTAATTTCATGATCATTCTGTACTTTTCATGTTAATCATTTAAGTAACTTTGTGTTTAAATAAATGCAAGACATATGAGAAAGCATTTTACAGTAAAGGGAGGCAACTGAAAATAGTTATATGGATTCACCATTAAGTTGATTAACATGAGTCTCTAAAATATTCTATTCTTCTTTTAAAAGTACATTGTCATAAGTACAAAAAGCTATTTTGCCACTATTTAAACTAACCTTTAATTTCCTCAATTCAGATGAAATGTTTTCTTTCACTCACAAACATGGAAGATGATTCCAATAGTAAAAGAAATATTTTCAAAAGTCTGATTGCACTATGCTGTGAATTATGTTTCTAGAAAGTATTGTATAATTGAAATATTAATGTACATGTAGCATAATATTCTTAGCATATTACTTTGTTAGCAATAGGGATATGTGCTTACACATTGAGCCAATACGTTTTATCTTGTGAATGCAGTAAATAGACTGATTACTATGTTGCTTCTAATATATAGCATTAAATCCTAGCAAAATTAAGTAGGAATGTTTGGCAACTACAAGGTATTTATCTACATTCTTTAATTGGGAGAGTTGATGCAACTTTGAAGAAGAGCAACTCAGTTTGAAAGGTTTCTTTTTCTTTTCAGAGTTCACAGAGTTCAGCACCGAGTTCTGCATTAGATTTCAACAAAGATGGGGAAGAAGAAACAACAGATGAAATCAAATCTGAAGGTAGAGAACTAGCCATTCCCCTACAGCAGCAATTTTCAATGGGTATGCTGCGGCAGGCACACTAACCAGTGTGCCACAAGAAGTTTTAAAACATGCACTACCTGGCGATTTAGTTGGGGCACTGACCTCTTTTCCCTTAGATTGTCAAATTTAAAAAATGACAATAGCCATCAGGTGTGAATGAATCGAATTGTACCTATATTTTTTTGTCAAATCGGCAAAAATACTTTTGGTGCACTGCAGAATTTTAGTAATTAGCTTATGTGTGTCATAAGATGAAAAAGATTGAAAATTGCTGCTCTGCACAACAGAATTTAAAACTATTATGTAGTTTTTATTAGGGATACATTTCTCAAGATTTTGCCCTTTAAAAATATAATCCTAGGAGTATTTTAAATGCAGTTTGGAAATAGTTTGAAATGTATTCCCTTTAACTTCTATTAATACTTTTAAGGCGATATTATGACTATTCATCTTGTACTAAAAGAGGAAATTAGCTAAGATTGGGGACATACCAGAAAACCCATTAATCCTATATATATAACTAGTATATATAATAAAAGTGTAATATGCTAAGTGTCTGACCATTTGACCAGTCCACCAGTCACTATAATGTGCACTGACCACCAGGGGGCAGACACTTCAACTGGTAGGTTAGCTTGCTGCTGGGGTCTGGCTGATCAGACTGGGCGAGATGGGCCAGGTAACCCTGGAGCCCTCCCACAGTCCCTCCCAGGCAGCCAACCTCCCGCGGTCTGTCCCCAGCAGGCTGACCATTATTGGCCCTGCTTGGGACTGGGCAAGACAACCCGATCGCTGGCCAGGCTGAGGGACCCACCGGTGCACGAATTCGTGCACTGGGCCTCTAGTACAAACATAAAGTGAGGAGCCATAGTGATTAGGCCTGCATATTGTTTTTCTGTTTTTTCTTTTTACCCCTGTACCTGACCACACATTTATTGTTTGACTTCTAGCCCCATTTTTTCTTTTTACCCCTGTATCTGATCACACATTTATTCTGTTTGACTTCTAGCCCCATACTTAACTGAAATCCCACATAATTATGCAGATTGAAAATGTATTATGATCTAGAAGGCAACAAATAAGTGGGCAAGGCATTCATTCCTTTCACTAGTTTGTCTTTTTTCAAAATATATTTTTTATGTTTAATCATAAGTTAAAAAAATGAGAAAACACCAAACCTACACATAATACCAATAACTTTTAAAATCTTTACACCAAATGCTATTAATAATGTTAGTTCTGCCCTGGCTGGTTTGGCTCAGTGGATAGAGCATTGGCCTGCGAACTGGAGGGTCCCAGGTTCAATTCTGGTCAAGGGCACGTGCCTTGGTTGCGGGAACATCCCCAGTGGAGGGTGTGTGGGAGGCAGCTGATTGATGTTTCTCTCTCATTGATGTTTCTGACTTTCTATCTCTCTCCCTTCCTCTTTGTGAAAAATCAATAAAACATATTTTTAAAAAATGTTAGTTCTTCTAATTTCAGATACATAGTGAAATCCTGTGTGACAGAAATTCTTTACAATATTTTCAATTTAACAATTTCAATTAATTGAAATTCCCTTCAATTCAGTTTACAAGTATTGAGTTTTTAGTATATGATACACTATGCAAGGCTGAATTACAATAATAATCATTGAAGTGTTTTCCAAACTATAAATTGCTATGTATATGCTAGTTATAACTTTTAGATGCTTACTTTTCTACAAAGCATTTCTCTGTCTTTTTTAACCAATTTAAGCAATGACTATTTCTTCTTATTAATACACATTTTAATATTTACACATTAAGAACCAAACTTTCCAACATTTGTTCTGTTGTTATTGTAAACTTAGGACAATTTTCACAGCATCACTAACTTTTTAAGAAGTTTCTTTGCAAGTCCCTGTCCACCTGTCTTCCCCTCACCCCATACCAGTCTCTTGGTTCCACTTCCTTCTCACTTCCATACTCTACCACCACTATTTCATACATATACTTTGCCTTTACCTTAATCACTTGGGCCATGTTTATAAATAAACTCTTTCCTTTTAAACATGCCAAACAAAACTGTGATCTAGGTAACTTGTTATACATTTAATTAGGTGTTTACATTAATCAGTTATGGCCAAATTTGCACCTGCAAAACTTCACATCTGTATTCTTTTATGTAATTTATTGTCTCTCTAGAAAACATATTAATCAATAGTTTTTGGTCTTTCCTGTCCTTATACTTTCAATTTCTGTTATTGCTTTTCCACATATAGGAGAAGCAGTGGTTCTCAACCTTCCCAATGCCGAGACCCTTTAATACAGTTCCTCATGTTGTGGTGACCCCCAACCATAAAATAATTTCGTTGCTACTTCATAACTGTAATTTTGCTACTGTTATGAATCGTAATGTAAATATCTGACATGCTATATGTGTTTTCCGATGGTCGTGACCCACAGATTGAGAACCGCTGATTGTGTTTTGTTTGTGTAAGTCTATTCATCTCAGAACATGATATATACTGAAAACATTGCAGTTCCTTGTTGCAATATTAAATGCAATGAAATATACTTAATTTATTCAGTGATCGGTCATAATTAAATCTAATATTCTGAACCTCCCTTTGTGAGTGTGTGTGTGTGTGTGTATGTATGTGTGTGTGTGTGTGTATAAGACGTGGGAGGAGAAACTGTTACTGCAATTTTAACATGTTAAAGGAAGTGTTTTTATCCTTATTATATATTTGTCAAAATGACGGCATCTTGCCAGGCAGCTCCCAGAATGTGCTCAAATACATATCTTTGCATAGAAAATACTGTGGTTAAATATACCATATGAATTTTTCACTTCTTTGTCTTAATTGTTTTACTTTTTAGACTATGAGTTTAACTTGCATTTTGAGAAATCTTTTTTTTTTAAAAAACTATCAATTTGCTCAGCTCTGTTCTCATTACAGAGCCTAAGATTAAACAAAGTTTTGTAGGAAAATGCCTTTTCCTGTAGCTATTGAATTTATTTCTAATAGCATTAAGTAGTGTTTCTTTTCCTCTGCTTTCACAGTAGTCTTTCTACATTATGTGGAAATGTTAAGAAATCCTGATAAGACCAAGCCAGCTGAGTTTCAGACAGGGTCTATGTTTAAAGAGAACATCACACATCTAGTTGAATAGCCCTGCTGGGTCAATTTTCACTAATTTAATCAGGAGCCAGGCCCACTAATGTTACATGCTTTCTTGTGAAGAAAGAGTCTACTAAGGCTTATTATAATGTGGATTATAATTCATTCCTACTTATGTCCTTAAATAGGGTTGTACCGAGGCCATGCTCAGCAGTGGGCTATGCACTAAGTGCAGGAAATGATAAAAGTCACTTGTAAGGCTGGACCTTTCACACAACATGAATAAGAAATTATTTAGTTGAAAGCATTTATGCCCATAGTGCGTAAATGAATAGGTCTTTGTATGTTAGAAGGTGGATTAATACAAGGGTGAAGGTGTGTATGTTAGTGTGTATGAAAGGCTATTAATTCTATGAAGAGTTTAGGAAGAAAATCCTGAAATAGAATATCAGTGCCTAGCATAGTACTAGGCACAAAGTGAGACATCAATAATTATTTATTGAATGAATGTACACATGAATAAAAACATCTGTAAAAGGTTCAGGAATGTCCAAACACAGACCTGCTTTTCTTTTTTAAAAGTACCTGTTTGAAACTATATTCAAATGAATCTGAGTTAATTTTTCCTTGGGGCAGTGCTGTAATTTATGATCCTTGAATTCAGAGGTCACTCAATCAAAAGACAGTTGTATGTAGGCTTAATCAGAATCCTGATTTATTGACCCTGCTATTGCTGTACCTCCTTTTCTTTTATTGGTTTTATGGCCCTACGAGAGAAGTGTTTGACTAGAGTTATAACCAAACACACATCTATTTCTCTTCTACGTATCAGTGGGGACAACGTAAGCACTAGGATTATTGCTTAGCAACTTATAATATCTAAGAATACTAGAGGAGCACTAATAGGCTGTAACGAAGATAGAGAATGCCCTAGTTCATGTGGGGGTTTATAATGGGTTGTGGCAGATGGGTAGATATTAATTTGCTATACATCTGTAGCACTACTTTTATTTATTTATCTTTTAAAATATATTTCATTGATTTTTTTACAGAGAGGAAGGGAGAGGGATAGAGAGTTAGAAACATCGATGGGAGAGAGACATCGATCAGCTGCCTCCTGCACATCTCCCACTGGGGATGTGCCCGCAACCCAGGTACATGCCCTTGACCGGAATCGAACCCTGGACCCCCCAGTCCGCAGGCCGACGCTCTATCCACTGAGCCAAACCGGTTTCGGCTCAAGGGTTTCTTTAGAGACTACTTAATTAGACTTTTCTGACAGTCTCCCAGATTTCCTTATTTTTAGTGATCTTGACAGTGGTCAGGTTTGGATCACCATCCATCCCTGGATCTAAATGGGTGAGGTGCCCTAGCTGGTTTGGCTCAGTGGATGGAGCATCAGCCTGCGGACTGAAGGGTCCCAGGTTCAATTCTGGTCAGGGCACATTACCTCCCAGGAGGAGGTAAGAAGGAGGCAGCCGATCCATGATTCTCTCTCATCATTGATGTTTCTATCTCTCTCTCCCTCTCCCTTCCTCTCTGAAATCAATAAAAATATATTTAAATAAATAAAATAAAATAAAAAATAAATGGGTGAGGTCAGTATTATCTAAACCAAATGGATTAAGAAAGAAATTTGGGCAGACAAAAATATCTATCATTAGAGGTCAGCTGGGTGGCTCAGTTGGTTGGAGCATCATCTGGTACATCAAAAGGGTTGTGGGTTCAATTCCATTCAGGTCATACCTGGGTTGCAGGTTCAATCCCTAGTTGGGGTGGGTGTGGGAGGCAGCCGATCAATATTTCTCTCTCACCTCAATGTTTCTCTCTCTCTCTCTCTCCCCCCCTTTTTTTCCCTCTCTCTCTCCTTCTCCCTTCCTCTCTCCCTAAAATCAATAAACATATCCTGGAGTGAGGATTAATATATATATTTCGGTGGAGAAGAAGTGATCAACCATGCCACATGCTGCAGAGAAATAGAACATGTGTTAAGGAGTACTATCAAGTATTTTTATAGAATGTCCCTAATTGTGATTGGTCTGAAGGTTTCTTTAAAAATCATGATAAGGTTGGGATTATGGGTTTGGGGGAGGAAGACTACAGAGGCAAAATGCTATTCTCATCACATCCTATCAAGTATATCATATATGCTATTAGCATGACTTTGTACTGTTGATGTTAATTCTTCTCATCTGACTGAGATAGCTTTGTCAGGTTTGTCCACTGTAAAGTTACTCATTTCCGTACCTTACTTTCAGGAAGTTATGCACAGCTCTTAAAGAGAAGAGCATTATACTCTACCTTTTTGAGGGCACACTTTTTTGAATACTTCTGCACAGGAAGCACATTTGTCTATGTTCCCCATTTACTTATTTATTCAAGTATTTGTTTATATCAGTATGGATTTATGAATATTTCTTTTATACTTGGTTATAATCCAATACTACTTCATTTCTTTGCTCAAATTGTTTCATCTTTGGCCATTAGGAGCTCTTTCAGTTGGCTGCTGTGTCCCTTTGACATACCACAATCTTTGCAGAGTTGTTTGAACTCTTCCTTATTTTCTGGCACTACAAGATGCTCCAGGCTCAACATATATATATTTCCTGCCCCAGTCCTTAAATTAGTCATTTCTCCAGTGAGTCCTGATTTGTAAAAATTTGAGAATGATATTAGCAACCAAGATCTGAGCACTAGGTACCCAAGTGTTCTTTTTTTTCCCCATAGATAGCATTTATAACATTTTTTAAATCCTCACTTGAGGATATATGTTTTTATTGATTTTAGAGAAAGAGGAAGGGAGAGAGAGAGAGAGGGAAAGAGAGGGAGAGAGAGAGAGAGAGAGAGAGAGAGAGAGAGAGAAATATCAACATAAGAGAGAAACATCGATTCGTTGCCCTCTGTATGTGCCATGACTGGGAATCGAATCCACAACCTGGGTATGTGCTCTGATCAGGAATTGAACCCACATTCTTTTTTTTTTTAAAAAAATATTTTTATTGATTTCAGAGAGAGGAAGGGAGAAAGAGAGAGATAGAAACATCAATGATGAGAGAGAATCATTGATTAGCTGCCTCCTGCACGACCCTACTGGGGATCGAGCCTGCAACCCAGGCATGTGCCCTTAACTGGAATTGAACCCGGGACCCCTCAGTCCACAGGCCGACACTCTATCCAATGGGCCAAACCAGCTAGGGGGGGGCGTCCTTTTTCAATTGGCGCCAAACCAAGCTTGGGGGCTGAAATCCCCATTTTTTTAATGGGTTATTTCCAAAACCGGTTTGGGGGCAGTGGGGGGGCAAATGCCGCTCCCCGACCCCCTGCGGCTCTTTTGGCCCCCTGAGTGTGGCTCCTTCCACAAAATTCCCCGGGTGGGCGCGCACGTACAGGTCGATTGAAATTCATGGCCATGCGCAGAAGTCGGTATTTTGTGGAAGACCACCCTCAAGGGGCCAGAGAGCCGCATGTGGCTCGTGAGCCGCAGTTTGCCGACCGCTGAGTTAGGGCAATTGCCAGCATTCTTATGTTTATATTAAAACTAGAGGCCCGGTGCATGAATTCATGCACGGGTGGGGTCCAGCCAGCCCACCCCACCATTAAGGGTGGACTGGCTGGGGTGAGGTGCTGTGGGTGGGGCCAGCCAGGGCAAGGGGTCACGGTGGTTTGCCAGCTGGCCCGCCCCCAATGGGGGGGCCACTTGAGGGTGGGGCTGGCCGGGGGGAGGGGCTGCAGGCATTCTGGTCATTCCGCTGTTTGGTCAATTTGCATATTATATAGGATACACACACAAAACCTTTTCTGTCATTTCTAGAGATTTTAATAGGGAGGGAGTAGTAGGTACTTGTTCTCAGTTCACTATCTTGGTCTAATATCTCCATAATACATTTTTAAAATGAAAACATGAAAGAGGCTAGAAATATGAAAGTGGGAAGAAATATATTTAAATATACATGTATGGTAGACTCTCTTCACTGTCCACTCAGCAGACATTTCCCTACCTTTTTGCCTGCCAACTAAACCTCAATATTACAGAAGATGGAAATATCTAATATCAGATAACTTGATGTAAACCCTGACATGAAGGAATAAATTGTGATCAGTCAAAATTAGTCATAGTAGTCCCTTTTCCCTTTACCAGCTATTGGTCTAGGCCAGGGGTCCTCAAACTACGGCCCACGGGCCACATGTGGCCCGCCAAAAACATTTATCCGGCCTGCCGGATGTTTTTGCCGCTGCTGCCTGTTGCTTAGCAGCCGACTAGTTTTTTTTTAAACTATAGTCCGGCCCTCCAATGGTCTGAGGGACAGTGAACTGGCCCCCTGTTTAAAAAGTTTGAGGACCCCTGGTCTAGGCAGTGGTTGGCAAACTGTGGCTCGGAAAACCGTGGCTCGCGAGGCACATGCGGCTCTTTGGCCCCTTGAGTGTGGCTCTTCCACAAAATACCGACTTCTGCGCATGGGCCACGAAGTTTCAACCGCACAGTACCTGCGCGCCCGCATGCGGTATTTTGTGGAAGAGCCACACTCAAGGGGCCAAAGAGCCGCATGTGGCTCTCGAGCCGCAGTTTGCCGACAATTGGCCTGGGGAGTCTGTGAGGAGATTAGGGTCAATGAAATGTAAAGGAAAGTGTTGGAGCAAGGATCTGGGATCTTTTCTTCAAGGATAATAAAACAGAATCTCAAGAGGAGAAATCCTCTTTGATCTCAACCCTTTTCTCCTGTAAAGAAGAGATGTCTGGAGCTGCAATAGCTGTTTTATGATCCTGAGGTATAAGCACAAAAAAATGAATAAAGAATAATGAAACAGGTGAGGTACTTAACGAAAAACACTGAGCTGCTGAATGATTTCTGATTAAGTCAACAATAAATGTCCTTATGGTTATAGTCACTGTTGTCTGACTTTCTGTTACTTTCAACTGTGTTTGAATACACCATTTAAAGAGATATTTTCTCCTATTAATATTCTAAACTAGCATATATTAAAATCTACTTCTAATATTTCTTATATTTCACTTTTTCCCCTCAGAATCAAAACTGGAGGAGCAGCCAGGGATCTCAACTGTAAAGGAATCTAAAATTGAAATCTCAAAGAATGTTGTAATTAGAGAACCTGCAAGTGTGGTTTTCAATTTAGATCAAACTGTACTGGATTCAAAGCTAGATCTACCATGGAAGAAAAATCTTTTTGAACGAGTAGAGGCGAGAGCTCAAGCAATGCAGCAGAAAATATTAGATAAGGATAAACTGAAAAAAGAACTAGACAAACAAGCTGAGAAAAAAATCCCTAAGGAAACTTTGGCCAAAGAGTGGTTTAATATTGACAACATGACTCTGAATACTCGTGCATATTTGCTTGACAAACTTCTACCCACCTTAGTGGTTGGAATGGAACATATGTTAATGCAAGTGGAAAAAAAGAAGCTTTTGTCAGAAGCTGATATTCCAACTAAGTTTGATCCAATTATTTATTTGGGGGAATATTTAATGAGAAATAATCCTCTTTATATCAAAGACTCAAGGATGTCTGGTTATCAGAGGGAGATGAAAAATGTCACAGAAAATCTGAAGATACATATTACCAACACTATCTGCAACAGGTACAATTTGTTATATTTTCAGTTAATGATATAGCTCCTTACACGGAAAAGTACATAGAACAATAATATACTCATACAAACTTAAAAGGACTTCAAATAAGGCAGTTCCCTCTATGGAGCATGCCTGAGCCTGCCTCTCTCTCTCTCTCTCTCTCTCTCTCTCTCTCTCTCTCTCTCTCTCTCTCTCTCTCCTAAATCCCAAAGGCCCTTCTTTTGTTGTAATTTGTTTCTTGAGCCCATTTCTTCTACAGCTCACTTCTATTTTAAAAAGTATTTATTGAACTATTACTATGTGCTTCACTATGAGGCACTAATGAAGACTTATGAAGTGTATTTAATCAGTTTCTTGTATTCACAGATTTACTTATCTCACTAGGACCCCAAATGTCCTTCTCTCTGCTGTGGAAAGTAAACCACATGAGTTGAGAGTAGGGACTTTTTCAAATTTTAACTTTTCAGATAAGCAACATATTCACCTGGTTCAATAGCCAAAATATATAGTTATACAATGAAAAGTTTCCCATTCTTATCCTCCATGTACACAGTATTCTACCTCTGCCTTAAATAACTTCTTTTTTTAGTTTTCAATGGATCCTTCCAAAGTCTCTTTATACATACATAAGCAAATGCAAATGTGGATACTTGATTTTCTTTCTTTTATATGAAAATATGTGAATAAGTTACATTTTCCTCTGTTTTTCACCTGCCATTTATCTTTCATCATGAAGATGAGTTTTTTATTTCTACATGGTTGAGTTTGCTTACTTTTATTTTATGGCTTTCATTTTTGAGTCATTGTTGTACTTCAGATATTAAAATAATTATCCTATCTTTTCTTATGAAATTATATTTTAATTTTAAATATTGACCCATTTGGAACTTATCTTAAGGTAATATGTAAGATATGGATCCAACTTCATCATTTTCCAAATGGCTATGTAGTGATCCCAATAATAATTGTTGAATAGTCTATCCTTGCCCCACTGTTTATAATGAACCTTTATTACTAAATTCCTATATATTTTGTAGTGTATTTTTGGACTTTTCTGTCCTATTCCATTGGTCTATCTCCCTTTTTATGCACCAGCACTCTGCTTTAGTTATTGAGACTTTTGAGTATATTTCAATGAGTCTGACTGCTGGTCCCCATTATTTGTTATTTTTTTCTGATCACTCCTGTCTGTTCTTGTGTGTGTTTACTTTTTAATATGAACTTTAGAATTGATTCATCTACTTAAAAGGGGGGGGGCGGGAGAACACCAAAAAAAACTTTATAGGAATTTTTATTGAAATCTGATTAAATTTATTTATTAACTTGGAAAAAATAGACACCTCTAATAATGACAAGTGTTTCTATTTGAGAACATATCTTTCCATTTGCTCATCATATTTTGTATCCATCAGTGTTGTCTTAAAATTTTTTATAAAGGTTTGCATCTTTTATTAGTTTTAATACTAGTTATTTTATATTTTTTTGTTGCCATTATGAGACTTTTTCTGTTACACTTCCTATCTAGATATACTTTGAATACACAAAAACTATCAATTTCTGTATATTTTTGTACTTTACTACCTCTTTGAGTTCTCTTATTGTTTATACTAATTTTTAATTGATTCCTTGGATTTTCTAGGGAGGCAACCATACTGTCTGCAAGCAATAAGAGTTTTTTTTCTTCCTTTTCTATTTTTGTATTTCTAGCATCTTTCTCTTGCCTAATTGCATTGGCTATTACCTCCAATATGAGAGTGGTGATATGGGAATACTTGTTTTGCTTATGACTTCAAGTAGAAATGACTCTTGTATTAATTACTGTTTCACCAAACACACACACACACATATATATAACTACCATAATTTGACTCCATTTGATTTGAAAAAGGTATATTTTATCACATTAGGGAAAATTCACCTAATTTCTATCTTATAAAGTGATTGTTGATTTTGTCAAATGCCTTTCAACACCTATGTAGATGATCATTTGATTTTCAGCCTGGATTCATTAATCATGAACTTTATTAGGAGATTTACTAATTTAGAACTATCTTGTAATTCCTAAAACAAATCCTACTTTGTTGCTATATATTTGGTTACTTTGAAACATACTTTCTACTGTTAAGACAGAATAAATGTTTAATTCTTTCCTTTTAATTACAGATTTTCATAATTTTCTTCCTTTCTTTTTCTTTCTTCTTTCTTTCTTTCTTTCTTTCTTTCCTTCCTTCCTTCCTTCCTTCCTTCCTCCCTCCCTCCCTCCCTCCCTCTCTCCCTCCCTCCCTCCTTTCTTTCTTTCTTTCTTTCTTTCTTTCTTTCTTTCTTTCTTTTCTTTCTTTCTTTCTTTCTTTCTTTCTTTCTTTCTTTCTTTCTTTCTTTTTCTTTCTCTCTTTCTTTTTCTCTCATCAATAGTCACCTCCAGTGGCAACAAATAAAATATTTTTCTTATGTGGGGGAAGGTTATTTTTAGTATCATTATGAACACATGGATTTTAATATATAGCCCAGGTATTTTAATATATTATACTCATTTTTTCTTTTTGATGCTCAACTTGACCCAACTTTGGCACCTGTGTTTTTCTGACATTGTCTTTGAAAGCTTCATGCATTTTTTAAGGATTCTTAGTTCATTTGGGTGAAGATCATTCATTGAAGAGCTAGAAATGCTCATAAGTACTGTATTGTCATTGTTTCTAGGCTCTTTCATGACTAAAATATAATTTTAAAATATTAACAATTTCATGTCAAATATGTTTCAGGGTTTTTACCTAATTCCTTGATTTTATTTTTGTATCTCTTTTTTTCCCCCTCACACTGAAAATCTTGGTTCCTAACAAGATGGACAGAACTACTTGTTTGCTTTATCTTATAATTTATATAAAATAGCTTCAAAATAATAATACCAACATGCCTACTAATAATAGAATTAGATTTTATATTTATTTTCAGCCTTGTGGGCCAGAGAATATATCCTAGTAAGTATGTGTACGTAAAAAATAAAACCATTAAAAAACTAGAAGAAACCAGGGATTAAATTCCTTTATAACCAGAGACAAGCCTTTTGAATCATGAAAATATTGATAAATTTGATTATATAAAAATTAAAAGCTTTTTGCTGGAAAATTGAGTCGACTACTCAATTCTGCTTTTATTCTACAAAAATAGCCAGACAATATTTAAATGAATAAGCATGGCTGTGTTCTAATAAAGCTTTATTTATGGACCAGGCTGGTGTTGCTCAGTGGTAGAGCATCAGCTGCACAATTCAGGTCGTGGATTTGATTCCTGATCAAGGGCATGTGCCTGAGATGCAGGTCTCACCTCTCTCTCTGTCTCTCTCTCTCTTTCTCTCTCTATCTCCCTTTCACTCTCTCAAAAAATCAATGGAAAAAATATCCTTGGGTGAGGATTAACATAAAAAACCAAAGTCTATTTATGGATATTAAAATGTTAATGTCTTGAATTTCTATATGCCACAATATATTATTATTATTGTTATTTTAAAAAATACTTTAAAATATAACAATCTTGGCTTCTGAGTTGTGCAAAACAAGACAGCAGGCCAGATTTGGCCCCCAAGTTGTAGTTTGCTGATCCTTGGTCTAGTTAATATCTTTTAAGTTTCTTCCAAATCTAAAAAAAAACACAACCAACTAAGACACTTGTAATCTCTTCCTGAATCTCCACATTTACCTTTGAATGTATTCTGGCATGGATAGTTATACTTAAATTTATAAAGGAACCTAAAATTCTTTGTGACTTGTTTTTGTGTCCTTCCTGTGGTAAGCAACAAATTAGAAACTTTAAAATGATAATTTTTTTGGAATTAGGTACATCTGTTCCTCTGGAATGAAGTAAGAGATATTTACAGGCCTCTTGTTTTACTTTATGTATAGACATGAAATTTTTGTTTTCAGTCGAAACAGTTTTTCTCAGAGAATGGTTGCCTACCAAAGACATCAGAATTTATCTGGGTGATTGGTTAAAAGTAAAGATTTCTATTGTCTTCCTCAAATCTTCTGAATCAGAAACCCTAGGAATGCATTTAAAACAAGTTCTACTGGAGATTATATGAACACTAAATTTTCAAGATCAATCATTTAGCGAAACAAGTTAAGGGAGTTTTGGTACTAGTGAAAAGTTCCAACAACAACAGGAAGCAGTATCATCACATTTAATAAACAGCTTAAAGAACATTTGTGTTCACCATCTGTTCTTGCAGAACAATAGATTAGATTTGTATTTAGTTCTGTTTCCATTAAAAAAAAACTTTAAATTTGGGAATTGGTGTCAAGGCTGTAAATCAATATATTAACAAATCCTTTGTCCTGTTAGGGCTGTGTGAATCTCAGTCAGTACATAAAACTAGGCATTTTTCAACATTTATAGTAAGGGTAGTAATAGGCATAGTAGGACTTTGGTCTAGACTCGATTGCCAATCAATAGCATGACACAAGAAAATTAGTTCATTTCATTGGTGTTCCTTGAACGAGGAATTTGATATTTAGGGTCATTTGAGGTTTGATAAGAGCCCTAGTTTCTATTGGAGCACTATGTTGTAGGAATTTCATGAAAGAGTTAAAATAATCAAAGATCCTCTTTTTTTTTTTTTTTTGCCTGGATTGTCAGGATCAGGGCTTCATCTCTCTCTGGTAAAAATCCAAGATCTATAGGTCAAAATGTGACAAAAGCAAAATGAGTGTCAGGCATTTGTAGACTATTCAGAAATCCTAGGGATGCCTTACTACAGCACTATGTCTACTGACTTGAAGCTTGGATATCCAGCATCTTTGCAAAAACAGTCCTGCTTTTAACTTCTCTGAACCATATCACTGTTTATGTTGTTCTCAACCCATTAGAGAGCTTTGGAGAAGTCCATTTTGGAAATGAGAGCTTTCCTTATTTATTTTCAAGAACAAAGACAAAAATTTTACTTGGTTTTTCAAGACTTTGTCTTCTGGTGATTATGTTAAAATGTTCATTTTCCTCAGCCTGAGCTAAAGTTTTCATCTGCCTGTTTTCCAGAACAAAAAGGGATTCATCTCTGTTTGGTGTCTAAGGACAATAGATAGAAAAGACACTCTTTACTGATTTGGAACAATTTTTATAGTGGCAGCCACTTTCTGAGAAATAAAATATTATTGCTGTTTGTAAGTTTTACGTATACAATCTTTTTATTGCTTTTCATTAGGGTTCCTGGAAGAGAGGTATAGAATTAAAGTGGACTTTAGTCCTTACATGTAATTTTGCAAAACCAGTAAGGAGGCTAGGTTTGTCTCATTTTGCTTTTCTTCATATTTTTTTAGCGTCTTTCCCCTCTGATTGTTGGTTCCTCCAGTGCTTGAGAATACATATTCTGAAAGTTACTACTGCCTTGTGAATTGGTAATGAAAAAAAAATTTGCTCTTAAAATAGGATTACAAACTTTCAATAGCCTGATTATGGTGATGGTTAGACATATTTACAGATGTGTGGAAATTTGTACAACTATGCGCCAAAAAGGTCAATTTTACTGTATGATATATTATTCAAAAGCAAAAAAATTTAAACAGTAAAAATAAGGATTATAGAGGACAATTATTAATGTTAGAATGTCACACTGCTCCAGAGAAGTGGGACCTATTATACTATCATTGTTCTCTCTCTTCTCCACCAAATCATGATACACAGTCCTGATCCTAGAATGAGAGTTTAAATGAACCAGGAAGTAGATCTAAGGGATCTAGGGCAAAAACTTGGATCTTCTTGTGTAGTAGTTAATAGTGATGTGTATCCAGTTCTGGCTTGGTAATGACCTCTGGTCCCTACATTCGTTGCTTATTTCATAATCACTATGTATCTATGATAAACCTTCAGGACATTTTCCCTATGAGTCTTCTTTATAAGCCTTTTAACTAATAATGGAACACTTAATCCAGGAGGAGAAAGAATCACTAAGAAACATTCCATAGAAATTACTTTCTCTACCACAGCTACATAAAGGAGATAAATAAGCCAGTAAAAATGCATTAAGCATTAAGGAAACACAAACCAAGTGAAAACTAAAAGGGAAAGAGACACATGCCTTTATTTTGCTTATAATAATTCCCTGCAAATTAACTCACATGCAGTGTTCAAGGAGCTTACGCAGATTATGTGACAAATATGTTGTGTATGTTTCTGTTGGAATGTGGTATCTGCAAAGGGTTTGAAGGTTTACTTCAAAGGACGTACTTTTTGTGTTTAAAAACACACATACAGACACCAAAATGTCTAACTCATCCTTACAAGATGCCAGCACTAGGGACTTGGCAAGACTGAGGGAATGTTTCATCCTTGATGTAGGGCTTTCTTAGTTGCCAGGAGACAGTGACTTCCTAGGCAGATATCTGTCTGCTCATACTCCACACCAGCTGCCACCTCTTTCCTGAGCCAAACCCTTGTGCTTACATTATGCTAGGAAATCCCATAAATGCTTCTCCTGAAGTAATATTATTAATATCAATCATCTTGTCAATCTGTATTTAATATCATATTTTATCAATCCAGTAAAATAGATTATGCCAAAAGTGAGTGGATAGATAAGGAAATGCTTTTTTAAAATATAGTATTTGGAGAACTATTATACCCAAATGTATGTGATAGGACTTTTTCCAAACAGGTTCTACTTTTGTCCAACCTTAAGCATAATAATAATATATCTAGATTGAGTAGTTCATATTAATTTAGAAACTACACTCTGTTGTATATGTATATATCCCAATATTAAGTACTTAGAAATTCAAGTACTTATAGACTAAGAAATCCTGGTCTCCCTGGATGTTATCCTAATACCCCCCGCACCCCCCCCCACCCCCCGCCCACACACACACCTGCAACTTGATGTTGGATGAATCTATAGTTCTTCTTCAGTGGCATAAAACATGGTTAACGTTAAAAAGACTAAGGTAGAGTTCCTGAATCAAGTTCTCCCCAGCTAGGGCTGGATATCTGGGATAATGCCTGACAACCTTTGTTAGTACTACAGTAGAGACACCTAAGACTACCTAGGATGTTTAGAAATCCCTAGTATTTGCCAACTGTTCTGTTGATTCATTTTAAACTATCCAGTAACTGATATCCTCAAAAGAAGATAGGATTTTTTTCTGTTCGGAGAATAGACTGAAAACCTTATGTGCAACTGACTTGGTTTTTAATGGCTGGAGATCTTATGTGCAACTGCCTTGGGTTATAGATCCTCTGCCTTGCTCCGATGCTTCCTAGTCCTCCAGGGGGGAATATTCTTACTCCTTCCAATATTGAATTGAAACGCAACCACCTCATTAGGAAATAGGAAATCATCACCATCAAGGCTAGTTTCAAAGTTTGGAGGCACTAGATCAGAGGTATCCAACATACTATGCTTCTTTCCACCTCAGGGTCTGAACATATGTCATCTCCCCTGCCTGTTATCATTCTTCTTCCTCTTTAGCTATCTTACCAATCCTTTAGAGTTCAGCTTAGTTCAAATACTATGTCATTTTTAATTAATCTACCTATTCTAATCTTGCTCTCATTATGTAAGTTTGTAAGTTTTTGTGTTATTTTTCTTGTGCTTGTTTTGTTTTTTACATACATAAGATTATTAATTTGGGGTAATTGACAGAAACCCAATTTTGTTAATCCCTTTTTGTATTGCAGTATCAATACACCTAAGGATCTGGAGACACCCAGTACTTATTACACAATATTGTTTACTTAACTGTTCTGCATTGTATCCTAAGCTTTATAATAGCAAAATCATAGTAGGAGCTCAATAAATGTTTGTCTTTGAGTGAATATATGACTGACTTAGGGAGTAAATGAGAAAAAGCTAGAAGAAAGACACAGAATAGAGAGCCAGGCAGAAAAGAAGACAGAAATTTAGGAGAATGCTTTATAGAGAGGGGAAAGAGAGAGAAGTGGAGAGAGGGAAGCAGAGAAAGAGATAAAGTAGCAGAGGGAGAAAGAGAAGTGGAAGAGCAGGAGAGCCAGCAGAGGAAAGGACTGGGGGCTCTGAGATAAGTGGTAGAGGTCTGGCTGCCTAGCAGTTGTGTCACAGGAACTTAGCACTTCCTTTAAAATACTAATGAATCTTCCAGCACTTTTAAATCACTACAGAATATTCTACACTATTAAACCACATTGAAATTTTGGGTTTCAAACCTCAAAGTTTATTTTTGAAGGCTTATTTTCCTAGAGAATTTTTAAGATCTTATCTGGGCACAAAGTAATTACTTAGATTTTAGAGGTTGTTTTTTGTGTGTGTGTGTGTGTTTGTCTTGTTTTTTAGTATTAGGGGTATCCAAATGACCAGTTCTCTCTGAAAAGTCTTTTGTCTTTTAAAGTATATCAGATTACCTTAGTCTTTCTTCTTTAAAAGATGAAGACCTGCCTCAAACATTATTGCAAAACTGTACTTGAAATCAGCACCTATTTTTATTATTTTGAACTATTGTGGTATTTCAATCAAAACCAATTTGGGGGTTTTGAAGTCCTAGTCAGGATGATGAACATAGGAACAATTAAAATCACAATTCTTCCTCCATTTTCTACCTGGGTAATACAGCTCTGTCTGAATACAAGGATAACTATTGTGCTCAGGGGCTGTCAAAGTAACTCTGGCCAAATAAAGGAATCTGGCAACATACATTCTTAGACAGAAATCAAAAGTTTGGTCCAAGGCATCAGAATTACTTGAGATGCTTGTTGTAAATGCATCTTTCAGGCTCCCATCCTAGACCTTGAATCAGAGTCATTCCACATGATTTCTGCATCCAGGGAAGAGAGACACCCCACCACCTTAAGGCCTTAGTACATTCAACCTTGATTTTACTGTATACTATATGTGGCAGCTTCTAGGGCTATTCTTAGTACTTCTTAAGTATAGTATTTAGTTGGGTAAAATAAGGCCTATCTCCATAAAAAGTCAAATAATAGTAGAAGACAGCCTATGATTAATGTGCTGCAGGCTTGAATCAAGGATAATTTCATGAAGAAAAGACAGGTTAAAAGTTTCTATGAGGCTCTGAACTCTTGTGTTCTGCCATTTGAACAATCTGAATCAAATCCAATGGTCTTAACTCAACATGTCTTCTATTTCTACATCCCTCAGAGTATCCAGGATGAAGGAGAAGATTAAAGAGAAACAAGAACAAAGAGAAACCATAAGCCAAGTCAAAGTCCAGGTGGCCAACCTACGGAAACAGGCTCTGCAGGAGCAGTTCAATGAATGGATTCTAGACCCTAAGGGAATGATTCCTATGAAAGTGGTAAGAAAGGGGGTGTCTGCGAAGGGTAGATGGGTTAGAAAATAAGAAGGTGATACTGAGTGGAGTACTAAAATCCTCCCTCTAAATTTTCAGTCCTGCTGACGTAAGTCAGTTCTTGACACTAGTCCATGAGAGTACATTTCTTTAATTTTCTCTTGAGTGTTTTTAAAAATTTTAGCTAGAGTTCTAAAAATACATTGACTCTGGCTGAGGTTCCTAAAATCTTCATTACAGTGAGGCATAGCTTCCATTTGTTTTTTTGTATATATGTAACTAATTACTTCTGTGGGCTAAGAGACTATCTTAGCTCCAGATGACATCTGTACTCTAAGAGTTAAATATTTTCTTTTAGGTATGTATATACAGATATGAGAATACTTACTGGTTAGATAAAATGATAAGCATATTTTTGGTTCAAAGTGAATTTTTTATTGGATTTATTGGGGTGATATTGGTTAATAAATTTATATAGATTTCAGGTGTACAGTTCTATAATACATGTATATTGTATTGTGTGTTCACCACCCCAAGTCTCCTTCCATCACCATTTATTTATCTCCCTTTTCCCTCTAGTAATCACCATAGTGTTGTCTGTGTCTATGAGTTGTTTTGTTTTGTTTTTTTTGTATTTTCTTTATTGATTTCAGAGAGGAAGGGAGAGGGAGAGAGACAGAAACATCAAGGATGAGAGAGAATCATTGATCCGCTGCCTCCTGCACAGCCCCACTGGGGGTGGAGCCTGAAACCTGGAATTGAATCTTGACCTCCTGGTTCATAGGTCAATGCTCAATCACTGAACCACACCAGCTTGGCTGGCTGAACAAGTTTTTAAAAAAATTATTATTAATCCCCTCACCTTTTTCATCCAGCCTCTCTACCACTACCCCCCCACAGTGAATTATTAAAAATAGACCAAAGAAGATAAGCCCCAGACTGGGAGAAAATATTTGCAAAAGATATATCTGATAAAGGACTATTATCTAAAATATACAAAGAACTCTTAAAACTCAACAATAAGAAAACAAACAATCTATTAAAAATGGGTAGAAGACCTAAACTGACAATTCCCCAGAGATATCCAGATGGCAGATAAGCATATTAAAAAATGCTCCACAGCTCTAGCCAGTTTGGCTCAGTGAATAGAACGCTGGCCCATGGACTGAAAGGTCCTAAGATCAATTCTGATCAAGGACATGTACCGCTGGGGATCCAGCCTGATCCCAGGTGCTAGGCAGGGCTAGTGTGGGAGGCAACCAATTGATGTGTCTTTTTCACTGTCTCCCACCCTCCCTTCCACTCTCGCTAAAAATCAATAGAAAAATATCCTCGGGTGAGGATTAACAACAACAAAAAAAGATGCTCCATATATGTTATCAGGGAAATGCAAAGTAAAACAACAATAAGGCCCGGCCAGCATGGCTCAGTGGTTGAGTGTTGACCTATGAACCAGGAGGTCACGGTGTGATTCCCAGTCAGGCCATATGCCCGGGTTGCAGGCTCTATCCCCAGTGGAAGGTATTCAGGAGACAGCCAATCAATAATTCTTTCTCATCATTGATGTTTCTATCTCTCCCTTTCACTTTCTCTCTGAAATCAATAAAAATATATTTAAAACAAACAAACAAACAAAAAACCAATGAGATACCACTACTCACCTATCAGAATGCCCAAATTCAAGAATACTGAGAACAATAAATGCTGACAAAGATGTGCAGCTATAGGAACTTTCATTCATTGTTGTGGAAATGCAAAATGCTACAGCCACTTTGGAAGACAGTTTGGCAGTTTCTTAGAAAACTGAACATAATCTTACCATATGATCCAGCCATCATATTCCTTGGTATATACCCAACGGAGTTAAAAACTTATGTCCATGCAAAAATATGCACTTAGATGATTACAGCAGCTTTATGTATAATTGCCAAAATTTGGGAGCAACCAAGATGTCCTTTAGTAGGTGAGTGGATAAATAAACTGTGGTATATCCACAAAATGGAATGTTATTCAGTACTAGAAAGACATGAAAAGACATGGAGTAACCTTAAATGTATATTATTAGCTGAAAGAAGCCAACCTGAAAAGGCTACAAAACTGTATGATTCCAACTCTATGACAGTCTGGAAAAGTTAAAACTGCGGGGGTAGTAAAAAGATCAGTTTCCAGGAGTGAGAGGGGGAGGGAGGGATAAATAGGCAGAGCACAGAGGGTTTATAGGGTGGTAAAACAATTCTGTATGATGCCATAATGATGGATACATGTCATTATACATTTGTCAAAACCCATAGAATGTACAACACCAAGAATGATCCCAAATGTAAACGAAGAACTTAGGGTTATGATGTTTTCAATGAAGGTTTATTGATTGTAACAAATGGATCACTGTGGTAGGGGATGTTGATAATGGGGGAAGCTGTATACTATGTGGTAGTAGGCAGAGAGTATATGGGACTTCTCTATACTTTTTGCTCAATTGTTATGAACCTACAAATGCTCTAAAGAATAAAGTCTATTTTCAGGAGAAACCAAGATGGTGGCATAGGTAAACACCGGAAATTGCTGCCTCGCACAACCACTTCAAAAATACAACTAAAAGACAAAACGGACATCATCCAGAACCACAGGAAGGCTGGCTGAGTGGAAATGCTACAACTAGAAGGAAAGAGAAAAGCACACTGAGACTCAGAGGAGGTGCAGAAGTAAAGTACATAGGTACAGAGGCGCACGTGGAAAGGGCTGGCAACTGAGGACACGGTTGTCTTTTTCAATCGGGAGGGAGTCTCAAGCTCCCGACTGCTCTGAACTCCAGTTCTGGGCGAGTCTCTGAGGACCCAGACTCATAATATGGGGAGAAACTGGATTGTTTGGCATCGGTCAGAACTGGAGGGCAGCTTTCTCTCAGAGGTGCTTGCAGCCATTACTGGGACACTGAGACACAGCCTCTTAGGGTAGGACTGAGGAGCAGCCATAGCTGCTTGCTCTGCCCTGTTGATCCCCTGAGACCCTGCCCCACCGAAGCTGTGAGCAGAAGCTTTTGCATATGAAAGGCCTGGCCCTTTGCAATCTGAAAATAACCTAACAAATTGCAGCTGGGTCAGAGAGACCCAGAACTTCCAAAAGAAGGCCCAAGGCCCCACAGCAGCTTGCATTGCTTCACAGCTGGGCTTCATCTGGGCACCTCCAAACCTCAAATAAAGAAGAGGAATCTGCAGATCTCTCCATAGCTCCTGCTGGGTAGCCTCAGGCAGAGGCTAAATTAGCACCTCCTTAGAGATCCAAGAGCCAGAGTACCCAGTGGTCAGAGTGGGACCATCCAGATTACAACTCCTCAGATCCATAAGGGACACACTCAGGGGGCAGACTCAGTGAGCACCAAAGCCCCACTGAAGCAAGTCTTGCCCCGGAGGGGTGTCTCCAGCACAGAAGTTCTCCCACTGCAGACACAGCTGATTCTCACAGCCAATTGGCCTGGAGGTCAATTCCTCCTAGTGATACCTACAACAATCAAGGCTTAACTACAATAAGACTGTGCACAAAGCCCACAAAGGGGTGCACCAAGAGTGTCCACTTCAGGTAATTGGGGAGGCTGAGCCACTGGGCCCTATAGGACACCTAGCACAGAAAGCCACTCCATCAACACAGGGAAGCATAAAAATGCGGAGACAAAGAAACAGGTCTCAAATGACAGAAATGGAGGAAAGTAAAGTACTGTATATAGAGTTCAAAACCACGGTTATAAGGTTTTTCAAGAATTTTCTAGAAACCGCCAATAAATTTAGTGAGACTCTCAAGAAATCTAGTGAGACCCTCGAGGTTATGAAAGAGGACCAACTAGAAATTAAGCATACACTGACTGAAATAAAGAATATTATGCAGAGTTCCAACAGCAGACTAGAGGATCGCAAGAATCAAGTCAAAGATTTGAAATACGAAGAAGCAAAAAACACCCAACCAGAAAAACAAAAAGAAAAAAGAATCCAAAAATATGAAGATAGTGTAAGGAGCCTCTGGGACAACTTCAAGCATACCAACATCCGAATTATGAGGGTGCCAGAAGAAGAGAGAGAACAAGATATTGAAAACCTATTTGAAGAAATAATGACAGAAAACTTCCCCTACCTGGTGAAAGAAATAGACTTTTAAGTCCAGGACGTGCAGAGAACCCCAAACAAAAGGAATCCAAAGAGGACCACACCAAGACACATCATAATTAAAATGCCAAGAGCAAAAGACAAAGAGAGTATCCTAAAAGCAGCAAGAGAAAGAAAGTCAGTTACCTACAAGGGAGTACCCATACAACTGTCAGCTGATTTCTCAACAGAAACTATGCAAGCCAGAAGGGAATGGCAAGAAATATTCATAGTGATGAATAGCAAGAACCTACAACCAAGATTACTTTACCCAGCAAAGCTATCATTCAGAATTGAAGGTCAGATAAAGAGCTTCACAGATAAGAAAAAGTTAAAGGAGTTCATCACCACCAAACCAGTATTATATGAAATGCTGAAAGGTATCCTTTAAGAAGAGAAAGAAGAAAAAGGTAAAGATACAAATTATGAACAACAAATACACATCTATCAACAAGTGAATCTAAAAATCAAGTGAATAAATAATCTGATGAACAGAATAAACTGGTGAATATAATAGAATCAGGGGCATAGAAAGGGAGTGGACTGACTATTCTCGGTGGGGGGAAGGGGTGTGAGGAGTGCGGGAAGAGACTGGACAAAAATCGTACACCTATGGATGAGGACAGTGGGGGAGGGGTAAGGGCAGAGGGTGGGGTGGAGGGGAGCTATGGGGGGGAAAAAGAGGAACAACTGTAATAATCTGAACAATAAAGATTTAATTTAAAAAAATAAATAAATAAAAGAGAAAAAATAATAAAGTCTAATTTTAATAAATGGACCAAGAAGAAGTCTGAATTTTTTTGTGTGTAATTGAAGAATGAGAAATTTTAGAGGATTCTTTGGATTGCCAAATTGTTTGCCAAAGGTGCCTTAGCTCCATCATCCCCCATATCTAAGGGTTGATAGAAATGGCACTGGAAGGGGCAAAATGGGGTCGTCCTCAGCATCCTAATTTTTACACAAAAAGGATGGGAATCATTGAGTACATATATGTGAACTCATTTTACACATCTATAAACTAAGTGTTAATTATTACTATTCCTGTCCCTGGGTTTAAATTATAGATGGCTTTAGTCTAAAATACTAAGTATATGGTAATTGAGAAGTAATACATGATCTTTTTGGTTTATAGATTCAGAATGCTCTTCATGATTTTTTTCAAAATCCAAATTTCAAGCTTGGTAAGCATGCCTATTACTACAGTATTTATGTTTTTTCCTCTTTTGGGGCAAAGGGAAGGGATGCTGAATTAAGATGAAGAGTCAATATTGAGATGGATATTATTCAAAGCTCTTACAGAAGTATTTGAGCTTTTTCTGCTCTTTCCATTTTTTTTTTAAATCCTCACCTGAGGATATTTTTCCATTGATTTTTAAAGAGAGTGGGAAAGATAGAGAGAAATATCGATGTGAGAAAACACATCGATTGGTTGCCTCCTGCACAAGCCCCAACCAGGGCCCAGGCCAGGGAGGAGCCTGAAACCGAGGTATGTGCCCTTGACTGGAATCAAACCTGCGACCCTTCAGTTGCAGGCTGGTGCTCTATCCACTGAGCCAAACCGGCTAGGGCTTTTTTGCTCTTTCCAGATGGAGAATGTAGAAAAGCAGAGAAGCAATCAGTGATTTTCAATTCTTTTAGTCCAGTGCCCCATTTTATTACAAATATTCTGTAATACCTCTTAATTATCCTGTCAAATTCCTAGAAAACATTACTTACATACACAGAATTTTAAAAGAAAGATATAATGTCATAAATGTGATACAAAGAAATAAAAGATATAAAAATTATATGCACTGTATTTCAATACGTAAATGCTAGGTTATAACTTCATTATAAGGTATAACAGAGTAGTAACATTTGTACCTCCTTATAATTAATGTTTACATGTAAGAAAAGTAGCCCGGCCAGCATTGGTCAGTGGCGAGCATCGACCTATGAACCAGGAGGTCACGGGTTGGTTCCCAGTCAGGCACATGCCCGGGTTGTGGGCTCAACTGGGCGTGCAGAAGGCAGCCAATGATTCTCTCTCATAATTGATGTTTCTATCTCTCTCTCTCTCTCTTTCCCTTCCTCTCTGAAATCAATAAAAATATATATTAAAAATAAATAAATATAAGAAAAGTAAAAATTATATCCAATCAACCATTTCTTTGTATTTGAAATAGGGGCAAAGTGAATGTACTTGTATACATTCCACGGGTAGTAGAATGGGAGAGCTATAAAATGCAGACTGACAGGTGTGTTATATTGGAATTCAGATACAATGTATGATATTACCTCCCATTACATAATTTTCTGAATAGTGAATAGCTCTTGGCAAAATTCCAGAATGAAGCAGAGTATACTAGTAATCCTCTCTCAAATTTTCACAGTAGTTACATTCTTTAAAAATTCAACAGCAAATATATGTTCTGTGTTTATATGCAGTAAAATGGAGTTAGGTTCTAGACTTCAAATAATTCTAAGCAGAATTTTCACCTACTTGCATTTCTAGCAGGAGGGAGAGAGTCTTTTCTTTGCAGGAATTGCAGGAGTTCTGCCCTTACTACTCCTCATCATTGTATCAACAAAAACTCACCTACACATTTCCTCCATGCTCACTGGGGAGGAGGGAGACAGTACTATACCTATGGAATTTTTAAAAATCTTTTTTTATTGATTTCAGAAAGGAAGGGAGAGGGAGAGAGAAACATCAATGATGAGAGAGAATAAATGATTGGCTGCCTCCTGCACACCCCCTACTGGGGGTCAAGCCCACAACCCAGACATGTGCCCTTGATCGGAATCGAACCCAGGACCCTTCAGTCTGCAGGCCGACACTCTATCCACTGAGCCAAACCAGCTAGGGCTATACCTATGGATTTTGATGCTTTTGCCTTCAGAAAGGTATCCTTATATGAGTTTGTGTCCTGAAATTTACATAATTTATAGCCAATTGATTGATTTTTGACCACTTTATTACATTGATAACAATAGATTGTCTGACATCTGTTCATACTTTTAAAAACAAAATATGCTTTCCAACCTCCCAATCACTGTTCCCCGAACATGATTTGGACGTTGTTGACAGCCTTTTCTCTTTCTACCTTTTCATCCTATCCAAAAACTATAATTATTCAGTCAGCACAACCTCAAGTCCCCTTTCAAAAAAAATTTAAATGACTTGTTTTATTTAGTTGGTTTTTGAAGGGGCACAAAAGGAACGAGTTAAGAGAGCTGTATTTGAGATTGTGATAAAATTAGAGAAATTTAGAACACTCTAGTTGGCATTGATGGTTTCTTCTCTCACCTCCTATACTACATAGTATTAATTTTCTGTGCCATTTATTCATTCAATATTTACTGAGTCCTCACTTAGTTCCAGATACTATGATGGGATAGAGAATACCAAGAGGGCTAAGATATGTTCCCACTGCCCTTAAATTGCTCAAAGTCCAGCCAGAGGACTGACACATATACTTAATAACAACTGTTACTAGTAGAAACCTGTCTGGCTTGTGTAATATTCCAGAGCTTGTGGGAAGATCTGGGATGGAGATAGCAGCATTTAATGCATAAGTTTTACTAAAGCATATACAGTCCTTTTATGCTAATAACTGATCTTTCCCTTCCTCTCTGAAATCAATAAAAATATATATTAAAAATAAATAAATATAAGAAAAGTAAAAATTATATCCAATCAACCATTTCTTTGTATTTGAAATAGGGGCATATATATATATAGGCATATATATATATATATATATATATATATATATATATATATATATGCCTAATATGCAAAGTGTCCTCCCCTTGGGAGTTTGACCAACCAGGAGTTTGATCGCTCGCTATGACATGTGCTGACCACCAGTGCTGACCACCAGGGAGTGGTGTGGAATGAAAGAAGGCCCTGTCAGGCAGCTGGCAGCTGGGGAAGGAAGGCCCCAGCTGGCAGCTGGCAGCTGCTAGGGACCCTACTCATGCATGAATTTCATGCACTGGGCCTCTAGTCTTATAATAAGCAGTTAAACAATCAATAGTGACTAAAGAATGTTTTTATGCATCAGCCAATGATTGGCAGGAGGAACTACTGTAGGAGAGAAAGCCAGTGTATTAATTTTTTCACCTTAAGCTTTCACACAATTTTAACTTTTGTGTCTTGGTAAGGTCAATAAAGATCACATAATTGTCACATTAAATGGAAGTTTAAAAAAATCTTTATTCAAACTAACTGCTACATTCACCATTATTTAGCACTGTTTTCATGAAAATTTTTTTCTTTGTTTTTGTGATATTATTCTCTCTTGATTTTTACATCTATCTGTGATCACCCTTTAGCAGATGTTTCTGGTTCTTCTTTTCTTTGCTTTAAATGTTGTTTTCCAGAGTTTCTTTTTTGGCTCTATTATCGCTTTACACATTATACACACTTTTCTTATTCAAACCCATGACTTCTGTTAATGACTCTCATCCATGTTTCCATCCCAAACCTTCCCCCTGAGTTCCAGATTCTATTTGAAAAGATTTGCAGGATAAGTGGTTAAGTGAAAAAAGCAAGTTGCAGATCAATATGATCATATTTATATACAGAAAACAAAAGATACGTGTATGTGTAGTCTTTTATACTATCAGTGTGCATATTTGTTTCTGCTTTATTTCAACCTTGTCATTAAAAGGGTAGGCACATTCTTTTCAGTTTTGGGGTTGTTTGGTTAAATAAAATAATAATTTTATAGTAATTGGAATGTTACCCAACTATATATCTTTTACTTTTTTTTTAATATATTTTATTGATTTTTTACAGAGAGGAAGGGAGAGAGATAGAGAGTTAGAAACATCGATGAGAGAAACATCGATCAGCTGCCTCCTGCACATCTCCTACTGGGGATGTGCCCGCAACCCAGGTACATGCCCTTGACCGGAATCGAACCTGGGACCTTTCAGTCCACAGGCCGACGCTCTATCCACTGAGCCAAACTGGTTTCGGCTATATATCTTTTACTTTATTGCAAATATTGATGAACATTAATTAAGAAATACTTTTATGTTTTTCTTTTAAAGCACTATGATATGAATAAAAATATGAATGTATTGTAACCACACTAACTAGCAAATAACCTTTATTCCATAATAGAAACACTTTGCAAACAGTTGGATATTGCTGACTCAATGGAGCAAAGATTGAACAAAACGGAATTTACGGAAGTAAGAAGTTATATTATTCAATATTTGACTCAAGTTATTTTGCCAGTTTTGGTGAATGTCACATATACATTAACTTAGAATTAAATTAAATGTAAACATAAGAACTTGTTTTATTGATTCTAAGATGCACATTTTGAATATTTTAATGCCTCTGAAATTATGGTTACGTCTTATAATCAAAGGCATCTTACAATTTCTTTCAATCAGTGGTATTCATGATGTGAAAGTGTGAAAAATTCCACTGACACCTTTGGGTAAGATAAAGAAAAACCATCTTCTTGTATTCAGTGAAATCTGGTTATACAAATAACAATGAGATCTAAAACTTACCTATGGGCCAGGAACATTTTTTTTAAATTAGGAGAACTACTTATTATCAGAGCAATGTGGTAAAAATGAACACCTGGTCTTCCCAATTGGCAGAGAGGGAAGTCTTCTTTAGCAATGTCTGTTAAAATGTAACTTCTCTGATTCTTCCATGTTATTGGAGACCTCTTCATATTTCATATTTACTTAATTCTAAGATGACTTTTCTTTTTGCACTTCTAAAATCAAAATTCATCTTACAGGTGATGGAAATGTCTATGGCCTTGGTGATGATGATTTTGGTTTATATTTATTTTCCATAAGGGGGAAAACGCTTTATTTTGAGGTATGGTTGACATGTAAAAAGCTATACATATTTACATATACACAGTTGAATTGAATATGTATAGCTTTTAATATGTCAACTATACCCCAATAAAGTTTTTTAAAAGATGTATCTTATAATCAATGTAGACATTTAATAAAATAATATTTTCCTCTCTTCTCCAACCTCCCAAATCTGTTCTTAAATCAATAGTCTATCTTATAATTGGTGATTTTTTTGATAATTGAAAAAAATGCTATTTGTACTTTATAAGTAAAGCATCTAATATAAAATGACAAAAAAGATGGAATACTATGCTGCTGTAAAAAAGAAAGAACTCTTACCATTTGCAACAGCATAGATGGACCTGGAGAGCATTATGCAAAGCGAAATAAGCCAGTCAGCATATCACATGACTTCATTCATTTGTGGAATATAATGAATATTATAAACTGATGAACAAAAATAGATACAGAGACAAAGAAACATTGAACAGATTGTCAAACTTCAGTGAGAAGGCAGGGGAGGAGTGGGGGATAGGGGAAAGAGATCATATAAACATAATCAATGGACATGGACACTAAGGGGGTGAGGGCATGTGTCAGGGGGTGGGGGTGGCTGGGGGAGGTCAATGGGGGAAAAAGGAGACATATGTAATACTATATATAATACTTTAAACAATAAAATAAAACTTTAAAAAAAGATGAAATTGCCGAAACCGGTTTGGCTCAGTGGATAGAGCGTCGGCCTGCGGACTGGAGGGTCCCAGGTTCGATTCCGGTCAGGGGCATGTACCTGGGTTGCGGGCACATCCCCAGTAGGGGGCGTGCAGGAGGCAGCTGAATCGATGTTTCTCTCTCATCGATGTTTCTAACTATCTCTCTCCCTTCCTCTCTGTAAATATCAATAAAATATATTTAAAAAAAAGATGAAATTAAGAGAATTTTTAAAGAATATCTGATAATGAAAGTAAGCAATAAAACAAACAAAACTGAGCAGATTTCAAGATTAAAAATAATCTAGTAGAACCAAGACTTTTTTATATTTATAAGTGTTAAAGCTTTCTATTTGTAAATTGTAAAATTAATAAAGGTGATAGGACACTTTAAAGCTTTATGAGTTTATAGAAAATTATAATCCTATATAATAAAAGTATAATATGCAAATCAACCGAATGGGGGAACTACCAGTCGGCAGGGGGCGGGACTGGCAAGCAGGTGGCGCCAGGCCAGCCAAGGCATGTGCCAGCAGGTAGAGGGAGGGGACGGTGATGGGGGAGGGGAGGCAGTGACCAGTGGTGGCAGAGGGGCAATGAGGTGGACGGGGCCAGCTGCCGTCCCGATGACCCACAGAGGGAGGCCAGACTGCAGCTTAGGCCCACTCCCTGCAGGGAGCCGTCAGTCGGACATCCCCTGAGGGCTCCCAGACTGCAAGAGGGTGCAGACCAGGCTGAGGGACCCCACAAGTGCATGAATTTTTGTGCACCGGGCCTCTAGTAGAATATATAAAAACTAGTGGCCCGGTGCACGAAATTCATGCACATTAAAAGGGAATTAATTAGATGAAATATTTTAATATTGCTATTTGCCCTTTCTCTATAATAGAAGTGTCGGAGATGAAAGAAAATTAGTAAAATGTAAATGAAAATCTCCCTCCTGTCAGAGTCTGGGCACGCTGCAGGACCCAGAGTCATGTCCCCGCCCACCCACGTGCGCCTTGAAATTGCGTGAGACCCAGACCCAGCCAGCCCCACCCTGTCAAGCCCTGCAGGGCGGGGGGTGTGGCCTCAGGTCCCCCGGCCCAGCCTCGGGTTCCCCAGCCCCGGCGCCAGGGCGGGGGGCACAGCCTCAGGTCCCCCGGACAAGGCACGAGGGCACAAGGGCGTGAGAGCATGACAACCATTTGCATATTAGCTCTTTATTATATAGGATACATTAGAAATATAAAGTAAATGAACAAAAAATTCACAATTGTGGCAATATTAAAACTGTTTTTGATAACAGCTCTATCTATAATAATAAAAGCATAATATGCTAATTAGACTGGACCTAATAATACTTGGTACAAACTCAGTAGCATTCTACATAATTCCTTTGTGGATATCTATTCATCTATCTATATAATTTTGTTTTAATGGGTGGGTTGGGCTATTACTATTAATTTTACTGATATTTCCCAACTTCTCTTCCTGAAATGAAAACAGCAATGTTCAGGTACTTTCATTATAGAGAAGAGCTGTTACTTCAACTAGAAACCAAGAAAGTATTTCTTATATGTAAATATTTATTGAACATATTTGATTATCTAATCAATAAATTATTGAGCCATCTTATATGATATGACCTAGAAGTAATATTTGGGACAACTGGTTTTTTCTAAGGGACAGTTGCTTTTAAAAAGATTTGTTTTAAGGTTATTTTGTCAGAACTCGTTCAATGAAACGAAGAAAATGAAATAAATGGCAGGCTTAAAGTCAATATGTTGTGCACAGGTGCCACCCAGTGGAGAAACTATGCCATGCAATTGCCCCGCTGATAGTTTGCAGTAGTTTCTGATTCAGTAACTATGCCATGCAATTGCCCCCAAATTCACATTTCTAACAAGCTCTCAGGTGATGTGGTCAAGGGATCCCACTTTAAGAGCCATTGATCTCATTGGGTTTTTCCTTCTAAGTATGTAAGTCAGCTGAAAAGACTTTTATCCTATAAAGAAAACTTTCTTGGTCGATTTTTTTTTAAACCTAGCTCAAAAGGAAATAATAGCAATGGCTACAGAAAACTATTACATGAAATACCTAAGCTCTGTGACTCAGTAAGAGAGCTACTATAATACCCATTTCACAAATGAAGAAACTGGGAAGTTCAATGATTCACCCAAGGTTACTCAGCCAGTAAATATAGGGACTGGGATTTGAACCCAAACAGGCTCCAAATGTGAGTTCTCTTTTTTTTTTTTTAAATATATTTTATTGATTTTTTTACAGAGAGGAAGTGAGAGAGATAGAGAGTTAGAAACATCGATGACAGAGAAACATCGATCAACTGCCTCCTGCACATCTCCCACTGGGGATGTGCCCACAACCCAGGTACATGCCCTTGACCGGAATTGAACCTGGGACCTTTCAGTCCGCAGGCTGACGCTCTATCCACTGAGCCAAACCGGTTTCGGCCCAAATGTGAGTTCTTAACTACTATTCTTACTTCCCAAGGTAGCAGATGACCTTAACTGTGCTCATTGATCCATCAACAATAATGACAATTAGGTGGTTTGGTCAGCTAAGTAAACTAAATATTTAGAAGAGCTATTTTGCTCTGCTTTAAATTTTCCTCTTTTAATCTCTAAGCCAGTTGAATAATGGTTTATGATTCATTAGCATAGATTAAAGCCTATGTACCTCTTACATAATGCATTCTAAATTTGCCTGATAATATTACTGAGGAAGTAAAATATCAACTATGCCCTTCATTTCAAAAATTGTCAGGGAAATATATCAGCATAATGTTTCATTTAAACAAACTGTATTAGTTACTATTCTTTAATTGCATGAAACAGAAACCAACCTGAGCTAATTTAGCTGGAAATGAAATGTGCAGAATCCGAGGGCAGGAATATGATCCGGCTTCATGAAGAGACTAGAACAGGGACTTGGAAAACTTTTCTCTCTGCTTTCTGATGTACCCACCTCTGTGTACAGACTTCCTCGGTATTTTCAGTTCACATGGAGTAATCTGGCCATCTACAAATTCTTGAGTTTAATTTATAGATCCAACCTCTCTCAGAGACCAATTGGCCATTCCCCACTCCAAATTCCAGAAACTGAATGGCTTTGTTTCGGTGAAGTATCCTCCCCTGGTCCAATCATGTATGGCTAAGGAACTAGGATAATTCGGTACAAATTTGGCTACCAGTACAAATTTGGTTACTGTTGTGCTTGGGTCAGAGGAGGGAATCATTGACTGTGAATTGGGCTGAAACTTCAAGAGGAGTCCAGTCAGAAACTCTTCCAGTGCTTACTCCATTTCTCTCTATCACGAGATATTACACTCAGGTGTAGATCAAGAATTTAATGTTCTTGACCCATCAAATTAGCAAAGATCTGGAAGGCAATACACACCAATGGTGAGGCTGAGGAGAAATAGTCACTCATCTGTTAGTGGTGGGAGCACAAAAGGGTAGTTACAAGCCTGACCAACATGAAAACCTACCAAAAATACAGATGCATTTACCTTCTAAGTTAGCAATCCCACTTCCAGGAATCTATTCAACAGGCATTAAGAAAAATGGCCCAGGTCAGAGGACCTGAACAGACACCTCTCCCAAGAAAACACACAAACAGCCAGCAGATATATGAAAAGATGTTCAACCTCACTAGCAATTAGGGAAATACAATTCAAAACTACAACGAGATACCACCTCATACCTGTTGGAATAGTTATTATCAACAAGACAAGTAATAACAAGTGTTGGAAAGGTTGTAGAGAAAAGGGAACTGCGAGTGGGAATGTAGACTGGTATAGCCACCATGGAAAAGTAGTCTGGCAATTCCTCAAAAATTAGAGCTACCATTTGACCCAGCAATCCCTCTCCTGGGTATATACCTGAAGAACTCGAAAGCATGTACTCGAAAAGATCTATGCACCCCTATGTTCATTGCAACATTATTCATTGTGGCCAAGACATGGAGACAACCAAGATGTCCTTCAATAGAAGATTAAATAAAGCAGATGTGGTACATATACACAATGGAATACTACTCAGCCATAAGAAAAGACAAAATAGTGCCATTTGCAACAACATGGATGGACCTTGAGAATATTTTGTTAAGTGAAATAAGTCAGGCAGAAAAAGCTAAGAACTGTATGATTTCATTCATATGTGGAATATAAAAACTGAACCTCGTGGACACAAACAGCAGTGTGGTGGTTGCCAGAGGGAAAAGGGTGGCGGTGGGGTGAAAGGGGCCTAATAGATGGTGATGCAAGATGATTTGACTTTGGGTGGTGGGCACATGGTGTAATATACAGATTTTTTAACATAGAAATCCACACCTGAAACCTACATGATCCTATTAACCAATGACAACCCAGAATTTTAATAATAAAATAAATAACTATTATGAACAAAGAAAAATGGCTCAAGATCATATGAGTTTGAAATAGTGGTGGTAGAAATGTGGATTCCTCAAGATAAAACAATGTGCCCACTACATTTAAGCTGGGTCTATATAATCTCAAAACAAGTCAACCATGGACTGGTTACCCGAACACCAAATTTTGATCCTTCAACTTTTATATCTGCATCATTTTCCATCTTGCTAAGAATTTAGTGTTTAAATTGAACATGATAAGAAAGGAGCATTTGTCCCTGGACTGGAAATTTATATATATTTTTAAAATGGCCCAGTATCATAGATGTTTCAGACTCTACACTTTCAAAAGAAACAGAAAATCATAGACAAAGAATACCTTATTGCAATATCAAAACAAAACAAAACAAACAAACATCTCACCTACAATCCCCATCCCTTACACTCTAATAATTAAATGTAGTCAGTCTTGGAAAACAGACACTCTTATATGCCATACATCAAAAGAAAAGCTGCATTCAATTTTTAGAGCTAGTAATTTACAGGCAACATTCTATGACTGCTGCTATTTCAAACAGTAAGGTAAAAATTGTGTCCTATATAGTGCTGATGTGAGCTAAAGGGAAATTGCTTCCAAAATATCTAGTCCCACTGGTGTGTGGTGTTGGGAACTGTATTGGTCAGCTCCCTCTGCTGCACAGCCTGCAGACTAGCACTAACATGAAATGCTTTATCTAAATGACAAGCAAATGAGATGGGGGAAATGGCAGCCATTAATTGCATGCACTTCAACTGAATTCTAAGAAAAACCCAAGGAAAGAGCACAGTTTTAAATCGATCACTTTTCCTCTTTCTCTCTGCAGTACATCTCTGCGCACATTGCAGACTTGAAAAGTGAAATATTTGAAGAACTCCTTAAGCACCTTTGCCACAGTGCAGATGAATTCCGGGAGGTCATAAAAACAGATATGCGGAGGCAGATGTTTGTTGAACTCTTCCTGCATTGTGACTGTGGGAAGGTAGGGTAAGACCCTTAAAGCCATGTTTCTTAAACTATTTGTTGTAAAGGACCAGTTTTTAGTTTGTTGTTAATGGTGATGTTTTTAATTTCCAATCTGCTGTGGAATGGTACTCAATGAAAATGGATTACTAAGGGGGGAAAAGGACATACAAAATACAACTCATATTTTTATTGTCAGATTCAACTCTGATTTAGCATCTGTTACTTTCTCAAATTTGCTAGATGCTATTTTCAGTTTATGTATACTTCTCACCACAGACTTGTACCAGCTTACAGACCACACCTTGCATGGCACAGCATTTCACAGCATATAACTTATAAATCTCTTTCCCATTCTTAAGAATGGTTGTTAAGATTGTTTTTGCTTACTCTCTTTTCTGGTGGCTTTTTATCAAAAAAAGCTGCTGGGAATAGGGAGTCTACTACATCTTATTATATTACTTCTTTAAAAGAAAAGTTTATATCAAGAAGTATTTCTAAGAGTGGTACTTGGGAGGATATTGGTGTGCTAGGATACCAAATGGATTTGCAAAATAGATACTAATTTTACTGATATATATTTGTTTATGAACTTTGTTTGTATCCCCATGTTCCGGAAAAGATTGCAACAAAGGAACACATATGAAAGAAGTAAAAAATAAGAGAGATGACAGTAAGATGACAGTAACTGAAGCTACGAATAAAGCCCCAAATGCATATTTTACTGGCATAAATATTTGTTCTAGGTTGCCTACAAGCTTCCTAGCAGTGAATGTTTGAATCTAAGCTTCCTAGCAGTGAAAAGGGAAACATGAGCAAACATTCTATCGGCGTGTTTAAGATAAATGCAAACTGATATTAAGAAGAAGTACAGAAAATTGGGGTTCAGAGTCAGCAGTTCCTCCCACAAGTACACACAAAGGAACCTTATGTGTTGAAGTGAAGGTCCATTATGCCAGACGTATAATAAATGAAACAATGATTTTCTTGGGGAAACTTCTTATAACCACCTTAAGTGTAGGTAAATGATACCACACCTGACTGCAATTCAGAAAAAGCAAATCTTGAAGGAGCCAATATATTGCAGTCTAGGTTCTCAGATCCCTGATAATTTGGCTTAGGTCAGGAATATATATATTAAAATATATTTTTATTAATTTCAGAGAGGAAGGGAGAGGGAGAGAGATAGAAACATCATCAATGATGAGAGAGAATCATTGATTGGCTGCCTCCTGCACACCCCACACTGGGGATTGAGCTTGCAACTGGGCATACGCCCTGACCGGAAATAGAACCGGTGACCTCTTGGTTCCTGGGTTGACTTCAACAACTGAGCCATACCCGGCTGGGCAGAAATCTATATATATAAAAGCCTAAGCGACTGTTCGGTAGCTATGATGTGCACTGACCACCAGGGGCAGACGCTCAACGCACAGGCATGGAAACATGGAACAGACTGATGAATCTCAGAGGGAAGTGGGGAGGCGGGAGGGTGGGAAGAGATTAACCAAAGATCTTATATGCATACTAGAGGCCCGGTGCATGGAGTTGTGTACCAGTGGGGTTCCTCAGCCTGGCCTGCAAGGATCAGGCCGAAATCAGCAGTCCAACATCCCCTAAGGGGTCCCAGATTGTGAGAGGGTGCAAGCCAGACCGAGGGACCCTCCCCCCCAGTGCATGAATCTATGCACCAGGCCACTAATCTATAATAATAAAAGTGTAATATACTAATTAGACCGGATGTCCTTCCAGACAACCTTCTGGATGAAGTCGGGGCTGCAAGGGAAGCCCAGGTCCTGGGCACCTGCCAGCGGCCGGAGGGAAGCCCGGGTCCTGTGTGCCAGAGGGAAGCCGATGCTGGCAGCAGGGGGAAGGAAGGTCTACTTTTGCATGAATTTCATTCATTGGGCCTCTAGTATATTTTATAAAATCTGAAATGTCTATGTGTCCTGTTGAATATTGCTTCTTTTAATGGAACTTATCATAAGTATTGGTGACATGGAGGTCAAGATTTTACTCTCAATAAATGCCTGGATACCAACTATTCATAGTTGGCTAATTTAATACCAATTCATGTGCTATAACAAACATAGCAGGATCATACTTAGAGACATGAACTCTTGCATTTCTTCCCAGTATTCAAATAGAAGTTATGTGCTGATCTTGTAGGTAAGATAGATACAGTTTAGAATAAAGCAGTTTCTGAATATTTTTAACCAATAGCTGAGACAAGAGTTCAAAAGCCTGTACTTTCACTTGAAAATCCTGGGCTCCTGGGGGAAAAAAAAGAGTCAGAGTAAGGAAGAATGCAAAATATGACATCAAAACACTTTTTCTATCACTGGGAAACTGTGACCAGCTGTGGAAGGAGGAGGTAATAGAGGGGATGTGACTAGGGGTTTGAGGTTGTCTGGGTCCCTAAGTCAGAGTTGGTATCTGATCCCCCACCCTCGAGCCCCAATCAGGGATGAAGGTAATATTATAGACACTTAGAAATTCTAAGTAGGTTGAGGAGAAATTTAAGAGCAGCAGGGCTTATGCTTCTTTTCCTGGGTTTAGCTCAGAGACTGCAAGCTTCATAGAGAAGTCCTGAACCCAACATGATACTAAAGAGGGAGGGTAAGTGCTGCAGAAGAGTCTAGGTAGGTGGGCCTGAGGTTAGTCCCACTCCTGTGCTAGAGGAAAGGTGATGAGTATTCCCAAATACCTGTGTGTGAAGGGGAGTGGGTGTGCAAAGGTGGCAGTAAAAGTTCTGTGTGTACCTCCAAGAAGACACCCTGGCCGGTTAGAGCATTGTCCTGATATGCCAAGGTTGTGGGTTTGATCCCTGGTCAGGGCTCATATAAGCATCAGCCAATGAAGGCATAAATAAGTGGAACAACAAATTAATGTTTCTTTCTCTCCCCCCCTTCTCCCACTTCCTTTCTCTCTCTAAAACCAATAAATAAAAAGTAAAAAGAAAAGATAATGCACATAGTATACAATTCATTAATTGTCTTTCTATTTATTTACCCTAGGGAAATGTTTATACATGTACACAGGAGATGTGTATAAGGACATCCATTATACACATTATTTTTGGTATCAAAATACTGGAAATAATCTAAATGCCCATCAAAAGAAGGATTTTTTTTTAAATTGCGGTTTTCATATTATAGAATACCATACAGTTAAAATAAATAAAATAATATTTCTTTATATACATGAATCAGATCTCAATGTTGTGTAAATAAAAGCAATTTTAAGGATAATTGAAATGCTTATAAAAAGGTTTTTTTAAGTGGGGGAGCATTTGAGATCTTGTTTCCTAGCATGGCATCAGTTTGGCTCAAATTAACTCTTTATAAAAATTTTTTTTAATGTAAAAAAGGATACATGTACTATGATATCAGTTATATATATTTGTTTGTTTGTTTGGTTGGTTGGTTGGTTTTGTTTTGTTTGTTAATCCTCCCCCAAGGACATTTTTCCATTGTTTTTTAGAGAGAGTAAAAGGGAATGAGGGAGAGAAACATTGATGTGAGAGAAACACATCGATTGGTTGCCTCCTGCATATGCGCTGGGGGTCAGGGATAGAATCTGCAACCCTTTGGTCTGCAGGCCAATGCTTTAACCACTGAGCAACACCAGCCAAGGCTCAGTTATAGATTTTAAAAGTACATACAAAAAATGTTAACAATCATCATTTCTGGATGCAGGGAATACAAAGTGTTAGTTTTATCATTTTCTTATTTTTTCTGTAATTAACTTTTTCCCAAAATAAAAATGTGAAAAAAGAACAAGTAGGGAGCAGTTAATTGTCCTAAGTGTCATACTTAGATCAGATTAGATGAGAATTGAACATTATACATTGGATTAAACAATTACGTCAGTAACAAATATTTGTTAAGCATCTGTTAAGTGAAAGGCATTTTGATAGGTAAGGTATAGCTTTCCCAACTTTGACTTTGCAGATTTTATTTATATGACAATGGTGGTGATAGTAGTGATGAATGTTTCAATAAGCCATATTCTGTCTACATAAAAATCTCAAACCTCTTATAACACCTAATTGCCAACTTTCTGCTTAGGTAGGGTTTTTGAATCGACAGAGGACATTGGCCTTGCTGGAAACATTCTATGACCAAAGTCCAACAATGCTTAGACGTTTACTCCGAAACCCAAGACAATGTAAGTGCCACTCAAAGGGAGTATGCTCAAACTGAAATGATGAAGTACACTCATCTATATATATAAAAGCCTAAGTGATTGGCCAACTGGCCAGTAGCTATGATGCACAATGACCACCAGGGGGCAGACTCAATGCAGGAGCTGCTAAGCTTTGGTGACTTGGCAGCTACAGTTCTCGGCAGAGAGCAGGAAGCCCGATTCCAGGGTGTGTCACCCAAGAACTGCCCTCTTGCAATCTGGGACCCCTCGGGGGATGTCAGAGAGTTGGTTTCAGCCTGATCCCCGCAGGCCAGGCCGAGGGACCCCACCGGTGCACGAATCTGTGCACTGGGCCTCTAGTATGATAATACAAGGCCATTCTATCCCTGTGCAATTTCTTCACATGTCTCTCTTAGATCATGATAGCTATATCTAGTTGTTCTTCCCTACAAAATTCACTCTTTATCACGTCTAGATGTATTTTTCACTACAGTGCAGTACTAAAAGTTGTCAATCCAGAACTCAATTTTAAATGTATTCAAATGAAGAAATGTTTTAGTAACAATCTGAATGTTGCAGAAATTTAGTTGGTAATGGTAATTCCAGTTCTAATGTCCAATTTAGAATTCTAAGATTTTGAAGAAAAATGTCCCCTTCTCTCAAGCATTTTTACTTGTACAACTTTATTGTACATATACAGTGAAATTTTTATATTACCAACCAAAACAAATAGGAGTAGCAGTTTTATTTTTAGTTTTTAAAGAGAAAGTCATTGAATGGATGGGTTTTCCAAAGAATGTCAGTATCTTATTTCTGTATGATAATTTCTAACTTGGATACTTAAAAATCTGTGGATGATGTACATAGAGTATTCCCTTAAACCCATGGGGTCACAATTTTATAGCTTAAATATTGAATGTTTTAGAAGGGAGAGGCAATCTTTGGCATGGTCCCACTCTTTGTAGTCCGGGTCACCAGTGTTGTTTTGGTGTGGTGTTCTTTTTTAACAGTGGGATTCTGCTGAATGCTATTCCATCTTTCCCTAGAATTCTGAGCCAAGTGTCCACATAAGTTGTTGAGGAAAAGAATCAAGGAAGGAAGGAAGAAAGAAAGGTAGAGAAAAAGGAAAGGAGAGAAAAATGAATATTGGAAAAAATAGCACAGTGAAAAATTGTCATGGATAGAGACATGCTTTTATTTTGATATTGCAGATATTGAAAAGGCATTTGAGGTGGAAGACATGTGTCCCCTTCCTCATTCCATGCTAGCCTCATTGTGGGAGGTCTGAAAGTAGAGAATAAGTTGTATTTGTCTTGGCAGTTTAAGCAACCCTCCAACTAGCAAAAGAGGAATCATATTCATTTTCAAACCGCAACTTTTAGGAAGGGATACTTTCTAATTTATAGTAGTGAGCATCTTTTATGTTCAATTGGATACCTTTTTGGTTTTTATTGTGTTGCAGGGAAAGGTAACTGATATTTATTTAAAGTAATAGGCCTATATTATAATCACTGTGCTCATGCTTTTTTGCATTAACTCACTAGTTCTGATTCTGTATTATAAAATCAATTGTTTAGGTAAATGCTTTGTTCTTTTGCATTAGGGCCACTCCTTGAATTTGAAGAGATAGAGCTGCCTGAGTTCTGGGGAGACATGGATAATCAGAAACACATTTATGAAGACTTTGACAATGTGTTCTTAGAGATGAATACACCACTGTCTGAAAAAAGTGCTAGCAAAAAACAAAGTAAATTGCTCAAAAAACCAGAAGAGCTACATAAATATGATAAATATAAAAAATCAACACTATTGCCAAGCCTACCAGAACAGCAGATGGGAACAATTGCAGGACAAGACCCAAACAAAATTTTAAGTGAAGATCTAAACTCAGAGTCAATAACAGCACAAGGACAGCAGAAAGGGGCAACAGTGCGACCAGGATCACGCAGAGGGTCACGCAGAATGTCATTAATAGAAGAACCACAAAAAGATGCAACTGCAGAACGAGGATCACGCAGAGGATCACGCAGAATGTCAGTAATAGAAGAACCACAGAAAGGATCAAAAGAAGAGCCAAGCAGAGAGCCAGTAGCAGAACAAGGAGCACCTAGAGATGCAATTGTAGAAGAATCACTCAGAGAGTCGGGAACAGAAGGATCCAGCAGAGGGTCCGAAGCAGAACAAGGAGTGCAGAGAGGGGCAATTGCAGAAGAAGGGTTGAGAGAGTCACGAGGAGGATCACGCAGAGGATCACGCAGAATGTCAGTAACAGAACCATACAAATTGCCCACTGAAAGACTAGAATCACCCGGAGAGTCAGTAGCAGAATCAGGATCACAAAGAGGGTCAAGTGATGAAGAATCTCTTAAAGAGCCAGTAACACGAAGAGGATCACGCAAAGGATCACGCAGAATGTCGGTAATAGAAGAGCCATACAAATGGCTCGCTGAAAGACAAGAATCATCCAGAGAGTCAGTAGCAGAACCAGGACTGCAAAGAGGGTCAACTGCAGAAGAAGCACCTTCCAGAGAGTCACTGACACCAAAAGGGTCACGCAGAGGATCACACAGAATGTCATTAACAGAATCGCATAAAGCGTCAACTGAAGAACTAGAATCACTCAGAGAGACAATTCCAGAGGAACAGGACATAGCCTCAACTTCACAATCAAGGGAAGGTAATATCTTAAAAGAAAGTGAAAACATCTAGGGAGGTTACTTCCTTTGTGCACACTGAAATCCTTCCACAAGAAGAGAATATTCAGGAGCAAATATATGAAGGGAAACTATTCATGATTTCTGAACTGCAAGAAAAAGTTTAGTATGCAGTAGAAAAGATAATCAGTTCTCTGTTTTGTGGAGTGGTTTTTATTTTTTAAAATATATTTTTATTGATTTCAGAGAGGAAGAGAGAGAGAAACATCAATGATGAAAATCACTGATCTGCTGCCTTCTGCATGCTCCACGCTGGGGATCAAGCCCACTGGGGATTGAGCCTGCAACCTGGGCATGTGCCCTGACTGGTATAGAACCATGACCTCCTGGTTCATAGGTCTATGCTCAATCACTGAGCCACACTGGGCAGGCTGTGGAGTGGTTTTTAAAGTCTTCAGAAAATACTCATTTCAATTGGGATCTTTTCTGATATATCAGATCATGCAAATTTCAGACATATTTTGCTACTCAGCATGAGTCTAGACCTTGACCAATCAATTAAATGCAAACCATAAAGACTCTATTATCAGACATATGTAATACCTTAATCAATAAAAATTAAAATTAAAAAATAAATAAATAAATAAAAATAAGACTCTATTATCCATTTACCTAGAATTCTTGTGGGTTTTTTTTTTAGAAAGTGGATGGGAGGGGGCAGAGACAGAGTGAGAGAAACATGATGTGAGAGAGACACATAGATTGGTTGCCTCCTGCATGCGCCCCGACAAGGGCTGGGGATCAAGCCTGCAACAAGGTATGTGTCTGTGTCTTAGTTTGGAATCAAACCTGGGACCTTTCAGTCTGCTCTATCCACTGAGCAAAACTAGAAACCCACTTGTAAGGAAGAAATCTGGTAATGTTGCACATAGAAATTTACGTTGGATCTCTGAAAAGGCGGTAGAAGCCATTTTGTTTTAAATGTGGGGTCTGATATTAGAAACCACTTAAAAATTTTTCTTTTAGCCCTAACTGGTTTGGCTCAGTGGACAGAGCATCGGTCTGAGGACTGGAGGGTCCCAGGTTCAATTCCAGTCAAGGGCATGTACCTTGGTTGCGGGCACATCCCCAGTAGGGGGTGTGCAGGAGGCAGCTGATCGATGTTTCTCTCTCATTGATGTTTCTAACTCTCTATCCCTCTCCCTTCCTCTCTGTAAAAAATCAATAAAATATATATATATAAAAATTTTTTCTTTTATTTCACCTATAAAATGGATCTTGATTTTTCAGTTGTATATAAGATATATTTCTAGAAAAGTTTCTGGTAGCCATATTTAAGACAAAGGGCACCCTGCAGTTCAAATTTTATTCTGCAGAAGACATTTTTCCTCTGAATTGCCAATTTATGACCTTTTCTTTAAAAAAAAATTCTAACCTTTTAAAAAGCCAGTCTCAGTACCACTGAAGACCTCAGTTAGGCATAATTTTTTTTTAAATTCTGCTCTTTAATTCTACAGTCCCAAAGAAAACTTGTAAGAAATGGGTAATTTGTGTTTTAGATTCTACACTATCATCAACTAATTTGAAATCTTTTTTTTTTTAGTATTATGTTTATTTCTCCATAAAACAGAGCTACTAATTCCTGGCTCTCCTTACATAGGGATGTAGCATTTAAAAAGTAGTGAGGTTACTATTCAACCAGATGTTATGTTAGTGAGATCTTAATTTTGGCTATGTGTAACAGTGTTCCAAAATGAGTGTCGGAAAAACAAAACAAATAAGTGTCTAAACAAGAAAGGGGTGTCTTTCTTTCTCACATGAAAGTCAAAAGTTCTATGACAGCTCAGTCCCATGAAATCAGCAGTGGCTCAAGCTCCTTCTATTTCGTGTCTCCTCCAACCACATGGACCAAGATGGTTCACTGCCATGTCTACATTCTGACCAGCAGGTGAGGAGAAAGGAAAATGGATAAGCATCACATCACTTCCCTGAACATATCATTGGTCAGTATATAGGGATATAGTGAGGGAGGCTAGGAAATGTAGGCCTCATTTTGCGTGGCCAAATTGGGGTAAATAAATAGCTTTTGTCAAAGAGCTGCTCTCAACAACTAGAGTTATTAAGTTCTATCACTGTGGTTGATTATGACACAGCATATATGGGAAAGTACCTGAAAGAAAGTTTTTGGTGGTCTATATGCAAGGCATTTCGCTTATTCATTAACTTAAGAATATGTAATGTCCAACTCATAGGCATTTTCTTTTGTACCTTTTAGAAACTGCAAAGAAGAAAGCTGAGAAAGACAAAGCCTGTGAACCCAAGTCCCAAGAAATAGAAGGAAAGCCATGGCCAGGTAACTCACTTAACCCTCCTTTCATGTAGAACAAAAACACTGTGACAGTGAAGTTAAATTGCCTATGTTATGTGGAATGTGTATTTTATAGGTGAACTTTTGACTTGTGACTTGAAGAAGTATGTAAAATGCGAAGACGAGGAACAGGCAAAATTAATCTATGATAACTCCAGATTCGCAGGTACATATCAACAACAAAATTAGAAAGAATAGATCTCAGTCTGATTGATGAATTTAACTTATTGTGGTACCCCATGATAAAGACTGGACTTAGACAAGACACAACACCAGGTGAACCTGCATTGTTTTGTCCCTGAGCTGATGGATCTAATTATTTACAAGATGGCCCGGCCGGCGTGGCTCAGTGGTTGAGTGTCGACCTATGAACCAGGAGGTCACGGTTCAATTCCCAATCAGGGCATATGCCTGGGTTGCAGGGTTGATCCTCAGTGTGGGGCATGTAGGATCAATAATTCTCTCTCATCACTGATGTTTCTATCTCTCCTTCTTCCTTCTTTTCTGAAACCAATAAAAATATTTTTAACAAAATAAAGATTTACAAGATGAATGTTTTAGCGGTAGTAGGCATGTGCTATTGATGAATGTTCTTCTGCTTAAAAACAAATGCATTGTATACAGTTTTTTAAATGATTAAATGGCCCAACAGCTGCTTTTAAGCTATGATCTAGGTATACAAAAGGAATCAGATATTAGATATTACTACTCAATAGAAATAATTTCAGCTTTTCTCTCCCTGGTAGTTTCACATCCAAACATGTGAAACAGGTGAGAATATAGATTGTTTTTGAAGACTTACAAAGAAAGATCTACTCAACAGAGAGAGCAAAGAGTAGCTGTTATTTAACAGTGAGTGTTCCAACAAGTACTCATATTTTACTACAATGCTATTTTGTCATTTTTACCTTTCATCAACATGTAGTAGAACTAATTAGATCAGCATTATTTTCTTTCTTTTTTATCTTTATTGTTGAGAGCATTACAGATGTCCTCCTTGCTCCCCACCACCCAGTTCCTACCCTACCCTAGGCCTTCACCACCCTATTGTCTGTATTCATGAAAACAACAATAACAACAACTATGGGAACCTAAGACAGCCACTAGACACTGAAAGATTATTTTCTTCCTATCTGAATTTAAAAAATTTAAGTCTGGGTCAAATAATAAACTTTTTATCCTCAAAATATTTTGGTGGAAATGTATGGCATTAGTCAAGCTCTTATAGCCTGCTAGTTCATGTTCTTCTTCTCCTTGTCTTCTTTATTTCAATTTTGCTTTACTATTTGGAAAATAAACTGCATGAATGAGTATTTTTAAGTTATGTCAAATCTCTTATGGAAGTCATAAGGGCATGAATGATTAACTCAATGAATAAATTAAACATAAGGCATTGGGTTAAAATTTTATGAAATGTGCCTCATGTTAGAACATTGAGCTTCATGATAAATATAGTAAAGACCCGTTGGGGGAGGGGTTGTAATGGTGGTATTTACAGACTTATTTAACTGGCAAGTCCAGATTGCAGGTGGCTTCAGGCACAATTGAATCCAAGGCCTCAACAATAGCAGCAGGGCACTGTCTTTCTGGCTCTCAGCCCTGTTCTCTGTGTATGACTTTCAGTTCTAGGTTGTTTTTTCCATACTATGACAAAGATGTCCGTGAGAGTATCTCTAAGCCTACATCCTACCAGTTCAGGAATCAAGATTACAAAAAGAGGGGTCCTTCTCCCAGTTGTTCCCCCAAAAGTTCTGGGTTTAAATTCTCATTGGTCTATAGTGGATTACATTGCTGTTATACATAGATCATTGGCCAGACCTATGTCACATGGTAATCCTTAGGGCATGGTTGTGGGAGGTTAAGTACCACTTGACTTAACTAAACATTTTACTGGGGAAGAGATGTTTTGTCAAATAAAAAAGAAATGGTGCTGTCCTCATGAAGGGAGCATGGATTTCTGTCAGGAAAATAGTAGCAGATGTCCATTATAATACATACTCATATATTTTCCTTAATCTTTGAGAAAATTGTCCATTTTACTGTATGTTTCCTGCTTTATAGACCTACATTCAATTATCAGAAATATTCAGTCTTATAAAGAAGTGAAAGGAAGGAGTGCCTTCAATGGAGTTTCCCTTAATCTGCTCCAGTTTGTGCAACTCCTAGAGACATTTGTTGGTGAAGATGCCCCCTTGAGTACCAGTGAGACCCTCACCTCCTTTTTCAAGTGGGGCTATGCTGAAACAAAAGAAGAGAAAATGAGGGAGTTGGAAGAGGTGAGTAATATTGTTTATCAATGAAACAAGTGAGGTCACTATTATTAAATTTGTCAACCTCAGTAGTTCCTAGTGTGGCTCTTCTTTAAAAATTTACAACTAAATGTGTCACTATTTCAACAATCATGGCCATTAAATATTTTATTTTATTGTCAAATAAAATGAGTTCACACTCCAGAGAACTCATTCCCTTAATAATATCATGATTGATGATGGCAGGAGATGGTTTATTAGACAGCTTTGTGTGTTTTTTCACTGAAGCTTGAATAGCAGACTTAATGGAGCAAATATGTGTATGAACAAAGATATAACAAAGATATCGCATGCATGTGTATCTGTGTGAGTGCATTTACAAATGCACATACCTAGGGTTCAATTACAGTTTGAATATATATTTTTATTCATGTGCACTGCATCAGGTAGTACATATTTTGTAAGAACGTACTACTTATTTAGGTGTAGGTAAATGCACACACATTAGCTGATATAAACAATTTATGTACTCGTATATGAAATATGTAAATTAGATTCACCAGGCATACACAGTAATCTCAGCAGCCTTATGAATCTTCTCAACTTAATTCTAGAGGTGATATCCCTTTTGCCTCAACTGCAGTTCTCCCATTTAACCAAAAGGTATATATTCACTTTGTTTCAGAAGTTAAATATATCTAGATATTAAATTACTGTCAAATTGATATAATTAATCTAATAAAAAGTATATGCGGAGGCAGATGTTTGTTGAACTCTTCCTGCATTGTGACTGTGGGAAGGTAGGGTAAGACCCTTAAAGCCATGTTTCTTAAACTATTTGTTGTAAAGGACCAGTTTTTAGTTTGTTGTTAATGGTGATGTTTTTAATTTCCAATCTGCTGTGGAATGGTACTCAATGAAAATGGATTACTAAGGGGGAAAAGGACATACAAAATACAACTCATATTTTTAT